TCTCCTCTTAAGAGCATTAAGTGCCAGAGTGCGTGCACGAGTTGACCCCATAACATCAGATAAAGTTGATTTAGAATGCTTGGCTGATGCAGAATACCTAGGTATGCTCCCCCTACTACTGGGCCTTGCAAATGGCTGTCTCAATCTTCTCCACTTCTTCTTGCTACCTTGTATAGCACATAATGCGTCAAGGAGGATTTGCAAAACTGAGGTATGGGTGGTAGGAGTCAACACAAAGAAGGGGGCAGGGCCAAGTTTGACAAATTTTTCAGGAACAAACATTGCTGAATCAAAAATTGTGCTGCGTAGTCGCTCAAGGTAGGGGATCATTAACACAAAATAGTGTGAAATATATGAAAACTATGGAGGTTATTGGCCTTGCCAAACATTGTGAATTTATGACGGGCCACATCAACATGAGTAAACTTGTTGTCAAATTCAGGGTTGAGCCATTTCCTGATGACCTCTTGCCCCATGAATATTGCGTCTGTAAATTGGTAGGGCTGCTCCAGTAACACACACATAGCTAGAATAATATAATAGAATGACTTGAGATCATGGTGACACTATTTAACCACGCTCCAACCAGGTGAGACAAGCAACCGATGAGTTAGTAGTATACAATGGAAGATCAATGTCATGAAGATGGACCTGTTGCCCAATTTGGACCAGCCGCCAAGGCCCTGATGATATCAGCAGTGGCACATGGTGGTTGATGGAACTGGAAACGGAAGTGGATGGAAAGTGGTGACATCAGGTATGGTGGGGGAGCAAAGAAGACAAGTAGGAGGAGGGTGGTGGAGGTGATGAGGAGGTGAACTAGAATGGGGATCCAGAAGCGACCGTCGGGTGAGAATAAAAAAGAAAGCAAGGGTCCCATGGTGGGGCTGAGTAAAGAAAAAAATAAGGGAGAACAACAAAAATAAGGGAGAACAACAAAAGCAAGGGCGCAATGTGTAGCCAGTGGCGACGTGAAAATTTGCCAAAATGCCAAAACGCAGAAAGTACCGAATGGAAAAGACTGTGGGGATCGACTTATAATAGCTAGACTTGCAGTGTGATCTTACAGTGATTTTTTTGTAAAAATATACCAATTATATCTAAGGAAAATATGAAGCAAAAGTTTAAAATATAATCCCTAATATCATTTGCCTGTCCTCACAGCTTTGAGTCCAGAGTTTTTAGTAAAGTCATTGTACTACTATCTCATATATTATATAGAAAAATATTTACAAAATGATCATGCTCAAGGCAGGCAACATAAAGAGAATGTTTTGTAGATAATATTTATAAAATTATCCAAGGATCCACTCTAAATTGCATTATCATTGATCCTAAGCATTTATTATGAAATATTTCAAACTCATATCTTCCTCATATTCAACCCTTATCCACAGCATTCTTTTGAAATTATTTCTAATTATCTTCCAGACTGTTTTCATCCTTGAACTGCAGCTTTGATTCACAATCAAAGCTGCAGTCCAATGATGAACATGTCACATGTGATATAATTCCTTGTGTGACTATTTTCCTGAAATCTGATTGAATCCTGCCAGCTGAGTTGTTCCAAATCTTATCTAAATGTTTGTTGCCATTACACCATCATCATGGTGCCCAGTGAAAAGTCACAAATGTAAATATCTAGAAATATCTTGAAATATATAAGAACAAACAAACCTGTTTTCCGTACACCGCCAATTTGTTCCAATACTGCATGAATTGTCACTGGTGCCATTAAGCTGGATTGTTTGCATGCCATTTGATAGCACAGAAATTTCTGTAAAAATTGATTAGAAATAAGTGTTGGGGGGATCAAAAGTTGACATTGGTGTGAAAGCCTTTAAATTTGTTGGCACTATTCATTTGCTAGGTGGTTTCAGTGGTGTACGTGAGGACACCTCACCACAGCTGCTTGTGGTTTGGCAATTGGGAACTATCAAAACTGGGATGAGGGAGTCAATGTGAAGATTTGAGGTGGTGGTAAGGAACAGGGTTGTGAGGTGAGGAATCAATTTTTCTCATTGCATTCCCATCATGTTGTGGTTATCCGACTCATTCCCTATCACCCCTCTTGCCCTTGGACTAGAGATCATAGCCGGTATCTTATTATTCTTATCTTTTTTCTTCTTATTTTCCATTCATACTCATGTTCTATTGTATTTGCAACAAAGGAGAACCATTGTAGACCCTTGAGAAGATATCCAGATGACATAGTGACGATCCAATGCTATATCTGGGAATACTTCAGAGAGATATTAATCAGTAATATAGGCTATGACTCAGTGCCTTCTCATGGGCTTACTGATACAGCCAATTGTACATCTCTTACCAAGACTCTCTCTCTCACAATTAGTAAAATATGATAGATCAAACTACTTCCCTTTTATCTTATTGGTTAACCATTTAGTCAGGCCACTCTTGTACCTTTCTCTTTTTCTGGCCTGACCGCTATTATTCAGTATATAAGGAGTAAGTATTCCATGTACTATTCTTTAGTTCAATATTAGTTTGGATTCGCGCCTATACAGATACTCTTCAACTCTCATACTCTGATTCACTGCCATTCATCAAGGACTTGGCCAGGCATTGATTCTTGTTATATAGCTTTGTATTTATTGCCTGACAAGGGTGATGGTAAAACCATTGGTGGTATATATAATAGTATACTGGTATGATAACATATATAGCTAATAATTACTATATTAATCCACACTTACTGTGACTGATTTTTGCTAAGTCCATTTTGCTGAATTCATCTTACTGATACTCCAAATATCTGTTTGAGTCCGTAAAAATATGCAAGTAAGCAAGAAAGCAACAATAAATATATTATGTGCAACACCAATCTTGATTATGGATCTTATGCAGAATTCCTTACATACCAATGAGTCACTTGATCACTGATTTCTGTGATATGTTATCATTTGTCTATATATTTACATGTTTACTTCTATTTCAAGCTTTTTCCATATTTCTAGATTGCAACTTTTCACTGGGCACCATGATGATGGTGTAATGGCAACAAACATTTAGATAAGATTTGGAACAACTCAGCTGGCAGGATTCAATCAGATTTCAGGAAAATAGTCACACAAGGAATTATATCACATGTGACATGTTCATCATTGGACTGCAGCTTTGATTGTGAATCAAAGCTGCAGTTCAAGGATGAAAACAGTCTGGAAGATAATTAGAAATAATTTCAAAAGAATGCTGTGGATAAGGGTTGAATATGAGGAAGATATGAGTTTGAAATATTTCATAATAAATGCTTAGGATCAATGATAATGCAATTTAGAGTGGATCCTTGGATAATTTTATAAATATTATCTACAAAACATTCTCTTTATGTTGCCTGCCTTGAGCATGATCATTTTGTAAATATTTTTCTATATAATATATGAGATAGTAGTACAATGACTTTACTAAAAACTCTGGACTCAAAGCTGTGAGGACAGGCAAATGATATTAGGGATTATATTTTAAACTTTTGCTTCATATTTTCCTTAGATATAATTGGTATATTTTTACAAAAAAATCACTATAAGATCACACTGCAAGTCTAGCTATTATAAATTAATCCCCACAGTGATACCTTGTAATCTATGGTTCTTCCAAGGATACTCCTTATAGCTACATTATGGTCACATGTCCTTGATAATAAAACTAAGTGAAACTCAGCTGCTGCCCGAGAGGCTATAAAAACGACTGAGGTATTCCTATACTAAACCCTCTACTACTTATAGTCGGAGGTGCTACTCGCTACAGTATAATGACTCCTAGGAGAACAATGGTTACTCCATGGAGTGGTGGCTATGCTCCATGGAGAACAATGGCTGCTTTGGCAGAGACCGGGTTTATCCGGTTTTGTCACTTGATCTATTCTTGCTATGTCCCCCAGGATACTCCTTTTAGACTATAGTCTCCACACCCTTGACCCTGGAGGTCTTTATGCTATTGGCTCTTATTTAAAATCCAGTTTGGAGCTGAGCTTAGATTTACTACCTACTTAGTATATAAACCCCTATATAACAGTAGGATAGGACAAGTTGAATCTACTCTTTATTCCCTGCTATCATCACAAAGGAAGACCTCAGTCCTATCATCTGAGGAGACTATCACATCCATACTCCAATTGCTATCCAGCAATAGTAAACCAAAAACCTTGAATGATTGATGATAGCATAATGTTAGAGTCAAATTACAATCATAATGGAAGACCAGATCGTAACACCTTCTTTTCTCCATGCAGTTAGGCATGTTCTATCGCTGTGTTTACCTTTTCTCAGATGGTGGTTTGGGGAAAGGGTGTTTGGCTGGATATGTAACAGTATATGGTTTTGTATTCTTTTTTGATTATCTTTGTTGTTTTGATTTTTATCATAGGTGCAATGATGGTCATCCTGATTGTGGGTTTTGAGTTCGGGAGTTTTTTGTCTTTCCAGTTTATAATTGGGTTGACTTTTTTTAGCCAAGGGAATCCTATCAATATGTCTTCTCCATCTAGTTCTGTTAGCAGAAATTTGGTGAACCAGTTTTGTCCTCCAGCTTCTACCCTTTGGTAGGTACAGTGCATGATTTTTCCATTTTTGTTTGTGGTTTCGTCCACATTTTTACATGTAATAGGTGTCTGGAGTCGTTGAAGAGGGAAGCAGTGTTAGATAGCAAATGTGGTGTCTATGAAGTCATTGGTAGCTCCCAAGTCTATTACGGCTTTGGTTCCAATGGTTTTCTGTTTCAATATGCAATCAATTTGTAAGCAGTTGACATTGATCATTGCTATTGTTACAGTTGCCACTTTTGACAGTACTAACATTGGGGTTGTCTGTCTCTTTAAAAACCCTCTTCTTCTAATTCTTTCAAGGTCTCTGTCCTTTATTCTTCTCCTAGCTCCCTCCATATTCTCATGGTGTTTTGTACCTTGTCTTCTTCTACCACTGTTTTGGTGTCATCTTCCGTTTCAGTTTGGTGTATCTTCCTTCTGGGGTTTTTCCTTTGTTTCAGCAATTCCTGCTAATATGCCCCTTTTCATTGCAGATGAAGCATCTACCTTCTTTTCTTCTGTTTTTGCCTTCTTCCTTGGTTAATCTTTTTATACTGGTAGAGGATTCTCCTTTTCCTCCTTTGTTTCCTCCTTTATAGTTCTTTTTGTCTCGGCTTCCCCATGCTCCTTCCAAAATGGAGTTGGCACTGGTCCAATTGGCATCAAGGTTTGCTACCATGTTCATCCACTCTTCAACCGTTTTTAATTCTCCAGAAGTTATGGCTTCTCTGAGTAGCGGTGGGCAAATGGCCTTCTGATAAACCATAATCATTGCTTCATTATTGATTCCGCTTTTTCCTGCATCCAGCATGAACCTGGAATTAAATGCAACCACATTTTCTCTATGTTCCATTTTCATCTTTATAAGGGATGCCAAGGTTGTCCCTTTTACATTGGCTGTTTTGAAGCTGGTGGTGAAGTTTTTCATAAAGTCTGCCCATGTGGGGTAGGTATTGTTGGTTTTGGATTCCGTCATTTTGGCTTCACTCCAAGCTGCAGCTGTTCCATCTTTCATGTAGCTTAACACTACATAGACCTTTTTCTTGTCTGAGTTGTAAATTGCATTGTTGATATCAAAATGGAGATCTGTGGAGGAAATCCACCTTTGTGCTCTTTCTGGGTTTTCATCAAAGTCATCTATTTTCCCTATTACTGTGGGTTAGGCAGTGGCCATTTCATTAGCAGTGGATGGATTGGGTGGTCAAGGTGGGGGGTTCTGTGATGATGATTTTTGTGTGGAGTCTTCTTCTTCTTCTTCCAGAAGGTTGGTTAATCTGGTAAGATTTGGTTCTCTTGCTAACTCGCTTAGTGTTGTCCCTAGTAGATCTTCAGATGAGCAGACTTTGTCTGCAGTGGTGGGAGGTTCATATTGGTGGGCAGGGATTCTGTCTGACTAGTCAACTTGGAAGGTGCCTATCCAATTAGTTCTAGTGTCCCGAAACCTTGTTACATCGTAATTAGAGTAGAGTCGGGTGAGGTTTGGTTGAGGAAATGGAGGTGGTGGGTTTTCTGCGACTCTGTGTTTTCTGGTTTGTGCTGAGGTGGGTGGGTTTGGGATCTGGGATGGTTTTGTTTTCCTTCCCGTTCTCTGGATTCTAGTTGTTGGTCTGTGCAACGTCTTGTTGACTTTTTCTTCCCAGACCTAGGTAGGTGGGACTTCTGGTGGAATACAATTATTTTGTTACACACAGAGTGCTTAACAAAATCTTGTGTCTTTTGCTCAAGGAGTTATCTGAGGCTTATCTGAAGATGTTCGAGAATGCAGTTCTGAATAGAGGTTTCTGTGAGAGTTAATCTCCTTGTTCTTCCGGTAGGAAGTCTGGTTCTTAGAGTCTAGCTTTGTAAGTGTGAACTGTGTAGAATTGTATTGAGGAAAATACTACTACGTGTACTTGACTATATATAGGTAAAGACTTTGGTGATGGGAGTTATGTCCTATCTAGGGTCGGCTTGTCCGTTAAAGGACTTAGTACTATACAAGGTAATATGAATGTGAAGACATTGGAAGTGTGTGAAGGAATATGAGTCATTGGTCCGATGATATAACCTATGAGTAAAGGAAAATGACTGGTCCATAAAAAGAGGTAAAAGTGAAGTAGAAATCATAACAAACTGCAATTCTGCTGTGTCAGCTGTTCTGGCTTATTTCTTGCCCCAATGTGCATCCCCATTGTTGCAGTCTGTTTCTCAGTTATGTGCTCTCAGAAAATGAAAGTGTAAGGCTGACAGTGGGACTGACATTCATGCATCCCCTAGCAAAAAGACCTGACAAAAATACTTTTTACATGGTTGAATAAGGATGCCATGCTCAGGTTGCTTTGTTTTCTTGATGCTTTTGTAACCACATCAAATATCTTGGGATTGTGACTTGCTAGAAGTGAAGTAAGTACTGCCAATGCAGAAGCAAAACATACTGTTTTTTCTTGGTAATCAAAACCGGAGCCTCGCGCCACTGCGATTGCTTTTATGGTAATACACAAACTATATCCGATCGTTGTTGTGCATTATGCTGCCGCAAGGCATGCTGAACGTTTTGTGGCTGACAGACAGTGTACTATAGTCACGGCCGGCCATATACGTCTATCCGATATGACATGTGTCTCCTGCTCCCTGGCAGACCGTATACTACATACAGTGACTGGCTGTATACTTCTATCCGTAATCACCTAGGGCTCTTACCCCATAAATAGTGATAATCATGAGTCGTGCTTTGTCCGAGCAAGCTGAAAGTTTTGGGAGCTACCCCAAGGAAAAACAGAATATGTAAAAGACATTCACCCATCAAAGAAAGCAATGACAAGAGGGTTAAATTTGAGCCAAGCCGGTATAAGCGCCAGAGCGTGGGTGATTGGTCTGGGCGTTAGGCATAGATGACCAAATATTGGGCTGTGAGTCGGAGCTGTTGTTGTATGTGACTGAACTGAGTAAATGAGTGGGGTATGTGTTAGGATCATCCGGGTTCTGGATACATGGGTTAAGTTCGATCAATGAAGCTGATTAGACTAATCAAAGACACGTACGTATGGTCGCTCAAAATTGTTCGGCACTATGCGTTGAGATATAGACTGCCTCATAAATGAAGAATCAACTGACGATTCCCCACGTAGGCCGCGACTGTATTGTGCTTTTGCACGACGGCGCATGAGATATACGGCACCTGCAACTATGATTGCTATACCAGCTACACCACCAACAACACCACCTGCGATAACACCTGTCTCTGAGTGTGAGGAACTGGGAGCGTTGGTTGGGCCAGGTGCCGTCGATGAGCCAGATGCCGTCGATGAGCCAGATGCCGCCGATGAGCCAGATGCCGCCGATGAGCCAGATGCCGTCGATGAACCAGGTGCCGTCGATGAGCCAGGTGCCGTCGATGAGCCAGATGCTACTGATGAGCCAAGAATGCTAGTTGTTGCGGACGTCAATGGGTTAGAAGCGGTGGACGTCGCACTAGAGGACGTTGTTGAAGGTTGTACTACAGTCGCCGATTTAGGGGGGGCTGAAATACACATTAATGAACTTTTGGCGCACATAAACGTTAGACCACTAACATGGATCTAACTGCGCTGCAGTAGCGTTCCAAGAGCCGCCCCCCTTTTTAAAGCAAAATCACTATTTGAAGGTTTTCATTAGAGGGAACAAAAGCTTACAACAGCGTTAATATCGAGATATGCCCATCCAGGAACGACAGTTTGCTGGGGTATGCGGTCTGGAAATCTAAAGGACCATCAGTAAACTACTTGTCGCTCTGATTATTCTAGAATTATTCACTCTTGGTAGTAAGCCGTACTACAGTTTCCACTCCAGGTAGACCAGCTAAGGTGTTTATCAGTTTGGAATCATGGAATTCGCGAGTATCACTCACGGCATCCATGTTCGGTCCTGACAGCCTGCGCAAGCACTAAAGAGCGAGTAAACAACAGAATTGCACAGGCAGCTGTCAGGAGGATTGTTGAATGAACCACCATATTCTGTTCCAGGCGATAAAGGATCTATTGTATATACTATATATATGATGCATATCAACTGACTTGAGGTAGAAATCAACCAATGGTCTGACGCAAACCTCCGGCATAGCACACTGTCATCAAATAAGACACGACTTGACAAGGGGTTTGACCCAATCCGTTATTTGCCTGTGGTAACGTGAACAGATTTTTGAGACTTTTACTCGTACACTTGCTTGACAAAGATAGGCTGACATACCCAAAGCAGATCCACGCAAGTCACGTTTGAATTTTGAGCAACAATTCTTGGAAGGCCTAATAACGTCGTTAAAACTACGAGCCAAATCCCCAAAAAGTTCTGATACATGGTGGGTAATCTCCAAAGGGATGCTCTGAGCAGAATCTCGAGGAACCTCGAACGAAAGCCCGCTTTTTAACTCCATCTATAGGCTCAACGTAAAGGTTATTTCGCAGATGGTCAGAAGTTAGCGCTATGAAAATCTAACAAAGATGCATCAATCAAGGGAATTGATGATCTATTTGTATAGGTCAGTATCGTAACCATCGTCATTGCTTTGAAATGTAGCACAGCTTTGGCAGGAGATGAAATGTCTGAGTTCTCTTTTCACAATTGCGTTGAAAGGGATGCCTTTTGAATCGAGAAGGTGTGTTATTTTCCATTCTTCATCTTTGAAGGCGATACAAGTTGATCGGGATTGGGGACATTAAGCACTAAGCCTTTACGTCGATGATAACGGAGCTTCGTTCAAGTTTACGCACTTCATGCTGGAGTTATACCGCCCTATGCACCTGATGGAATATCAGCTTGCACACACCGTCAGCTTAAATAGAATATATTATACCCGATCTCCCGATACTCATCACCAAGATGGCAGTGTCAGAAGTATGATTTGAAGTGTTGGTATGATACTGAACACTGGTCGGGACAATCGTATGTAGGCGCGCCCATCACCGGAGCTGTTTTCAACGAATTCAAAAAGTAACATCTACCGCAAAGGGTACGTATGATAGATGGTTCCATAGGTTGTACCGAGGTTGATGTTGATGCTGCAAATCTGCCAACTCCGTTCACTTGAATCACTGCACCACAGGAGTGCTAAGTCGAAACAAGTGATGAGTTAATGAAATTCTGTTTTCAGACTTTAAGTTCCAGATAAGAAAGCCATACTATGGACCAAGATAATAGTGACTGAAACATCTGATGCTACACAAGGATCAAACTTAAGAAGCGCTGGCATATGAACCATGCGGTGGGAAAACCATATCAGTAACCATGCAGTTGGCTAGAATGCAGGCTGTGGATCGGAACCATCGATTATATAGGACGTCGAAGGATTGCGTGAAACAGGGAATTGTGTTAGGGTCATCCGGATTCTAAAAAGAGCACACACTTTTGCAACCAGACTGATATACTACATATAGATACCCAAATAGAGGGTACCTTGAGAGGCTCGATGGTTGTCCTGCGATATGCCACTGAAACGATGTTGAGTATAGCCAGCCTGACAGGTAGAGAGTCAAGAGATGATTTTTCATGTATATCACTGTGGCTATGACATCTCGAACACCGGCGCACGAACAACATAGCTCCTGTAGCTAAAAGTACTGGGCCAATTACGCCGCCGAACACAGCGCCAACAACAGCGCCAATCTTCGAATGTGAGGAACTGGGAATGCCAGTCAGTGTGGGCATCATGCACGAGGTCGAGGGATTAGGTGTATGACCTGATATGGATGTCGCACTAGAGGTCGAGAAAACTGCACTAGCTATCATGGATGCCATATAATAAGGGGCGAGCCAAAATGGAGACTGATGAGCATATAGCACAAGCTATAAGATGTGAGAGCACCGACACAAATCTTACTGTGTTGCAGTAGCATCGACATCAAAAGAGCCACCCTTGCAAAGTCAGCAGATCAATACAGTTGGCTGTCCGAAGTGCCATCTTCGGAGCCTGAAAGCTGCACTCTCACTACTGACAGATTGTTGGTAAGAAAATCCTGCATTTTGAAGACCCAATGGATTCTGCATCACAAAAGAAGTGTTGTCGCTTTATGTCTGTAAATCACTCTGAAGACATAGCCGAGCTTCCATCGTACGGCGGAAGGATTATCGTGGTGCAATTAGCCCAGACACATGATCACTTCGATTTCAAGTGGCAGATCGAGCTCTGCATCCAAACTCACTCAAGGGTCACCCAGCAGAACTGTTGAAAACGCCCTTGATTGCGCACTTAAGTGTTCCTACGCCTGACCCAAAGTATGTCTCACTAATTGTACATTAATTCCTATCTTTTTCACCCCGTTCTCCTAGTGACCCTTGTTGTATTTTTTACTAGGGGTGAAGTTCATCAACTGTGGGCCCATCGCTGACATCCCCTGGCTCATCGATTCAACGAGAGTAGACTTTTTCCCCATCTCGACACTCCGCTTCTCCCACCTAGTCAACTTTTCTTTTGTGTCCTCCCCGTATTCGGCGCACAGCTGCTTCACGATAGTATACCGACTAAGGCCAGGTAAATCTCGCATATACTTGATCATGTACTCTGCCATTGCTTCGAGACCCTCCTTATTAGCAGTCGACATTGCCATGCGGCGGAGAATTCGAAAGTTCATTTTGGCAAACATATCTCGAATCGTGAAACGAATCGGCTGACCAGAAGAGTTGAAAAGGAAGTAATCTGTGTCTTTATCCTCTTCGATCATGGCAACCTGGCGTTGTAATGATTTAGAACGTTTGTATTGGGGCGTGCCAGCATCGATGGATTCCATGGTAATATGTCCATCAGGCCCCTCTGGAATATCACGACAACTGTCGGGTATATGGGGAAATGCCCAAAACCTGTCCCCAACAGTCCCCTGTAGTCCCTTCGACTTCTTTTCCTTGCCACAATGTTGCTTGTGTTTAGGCCAGTCTGCTTTCTGGCATTTTCTAATAAGGTTTGTCCATTTAACAATTGCTCCACAGGGGTCTAATCTTGGATACTTACTGAGAGCAGTAATGGATGTCGAACTTCAATTTTATCCTGCAGATGCTGCATACCATGAACCGAACATTTCCGAGTTCTTCAGGAGTTTTTGTACAGTTTTCACAACGGATCAGCGGTTTGTCGCGTACACCTTTCATCGCATATGCCATACCCCTGGCAAAAGTACCGTCCGTGTTCTCCGTTGCATTGATGATCGGGTCCATCCCTGCGCTACCCACAACAATATCGTGGAGGATAGATGCGCTCGTATGTAAAACAAAGCGGCCTCGAACCATATTGTGAGTCAATTTGCAAATATATACTACACGCAAGATGTCGCACTCACCTATAAACTCGTTCCTAATAAGCGTCAGACATTCGTATGCGAACTCATCCCTCTCCGGAAGTGGCTGGGGTGCGTTGTCTATGGCGTGATCCCACCACGTACTAGGGATAGAAAAAGGAGCGCTAGGTTTCGAAGACTTTTTGGCCTGCAAGAACTGAGCAAGGAGGTCAAGGAACTCTTGTCCTCTCGCCTTCAGTAGAGCGCTGGCAGTCAACTCAGGGCATAAAGCTCGAGAGTCTTCACCCCATGCGGCGTGATTGCAGGCGCCCTGAAGTCCTTCAAGGATGTGTCGTTTGCGCTCTGATTCTTCCAACAAGAACCAAATGTTTTTAAAATCATCTCTCTCCATAATGTCTCCAGTAACCGTTGCCGCTCCTGTTTGTACCTTCAGAACCATGGCCCTCGTTGTCTCCAACAGTGCACGTTCCCTGGCTCCCACAGTCTTCCACGCACTCGACATCACTCTATAAACATCGCTCGATTCCAGAGACTTCAAAGCCTTTTCCCACTCTTTATTCCATCGCAAGCGATCTTTCTTGATATCAGTGATCTTCAAATGGAGCCTCCAAATCGATTTCACGTTCTTTGTATCGAAATTACCCGGATCAGTTACGTCCTCAGATGAAATAATGTCGTCTGTCAAGTCATCAGTGATGTTCGCCTTTGCATAGTTAATGTCAGTCATCGTGGAGACAAGAGTTGGTTATGGTGCTGGCCGAAACGCGCTACCTACAATAATATCAGTCAAGCCGTGTCGAAACTTTTGGGCTTCTCCCTTATCGATGATCCAGCAAAGCTGCTTTCCATAGATACTTACAAGGTTGGAACGAAGGATTTTTACTATCTTGCGTCTCAGGAGAAGATTGCTTATGCACGAGAATCTAAATCTTCAGCAGGTCGCGGCAACTCCCGAATCGTACGTGCCCACCTGTAGCAGCTATTCTCCTTCGCTTATAATTGGCAGCAAACACGAGTTTACAGTATGTTTCGAAGGTGACTGTCTCTACACTGTTCTACAGCCTGCGATGGGGGTATGCATCTCCAATTGACTCTGCCACGTTTCACGGTTCTTTGGGGCTGTTCTTGACATATCCGTCTTTAATCTCTCGAGTCCCTGATACGAGACAAGGGTGGCATATCAGGCGAACCTCTCCATCGATTATGAACGGCACGTTTACACAGATATGCCACTTCTTTCTATGTAGAATGATGACTTCCTCGCGTACTCCCGCTGTCAAACTGTATTATTATCTTTATATGTCCAAATTTTCTATGTGTAGCCAATCAACAAGTACCCGTAACGATACCCTTATGCTCAGTCCTATCGTAACACTGGCTTTGAGGGAGCTACTCGTGATCACTCCGTTATACCATCCCTCGAGTTTCTCATCATCTCATTCAAATCACGGCCCTGACTCCCTTTCCCTGACTATGCTGAGATCCATTTCCCTGTTTCAAAGGGGTACATATACAACGAGATCCATTATTATGGTACATTTACAGCGACAGATAAAGTGTTATACAGAATATCCAAGGTGGTCTGATGTCAAAAAATGCAATTATAGTAAGTGCTCGTGTTCATGGAATGGGTCTGATGCCCAAAATACACCTCTCTTGTCGACTCACACGCCTGGTGCGATCTCCTTTCCACTCTCCACACATATCACTATCAAATCAGTCACCCAGACTACGATTTGAATAGTATCGGAGCCATCGACACCATATTCCTGCTCATATCTTCCAAAAAAGTTAGTCCTGTGCCATTCTCGATGCTCTTCCTTTCAAACTCCATTAGCTTGGCTTCCGTGTCGTCCCCGTATTCCGCTGACAGTTGCTTCAATATAATCTCCCGGCTAAGGCCAGGCATTCGGCCCATGGCTTTGATCATATACTCTGCCATGGCCTCGACGCCTTGCTTATTTGCACTTGACACGGAGCCCTGTCGCAAGAGCCGGAACACCATTTTTGTCCACGTGTCATGGATAGCAAAGCGAATTGGCTGGTGAGATGAACTAAACAAGAAGTAGTCTGCATCTTGATCTCTTTCAATCATCGCCAGCTGAAGCTGAAGCGCCGGAGAACGATGATAATGAGGTTGCCCGGCGCCGCTGAAAGGAAGAGACGCATTGCCGTTGGGTGATATTGGGATATCGTGGGCGAGTCTATGGGTCTGATGAAAAGACCATGAAGAGCCTCCCGCGGACTCCGGCAAGAACTTTGAGACTCTCTTCTTGCCACAGTTGTTCTTATGCCTAGACCAGTCCTCTCGCTGGCATTTCCTAATCAGCGAGCATCAAGAAGGCTGGATTGTGGTGTCTAAACAAATGATAGACTTACCTAGAACAATAATGAAGACTGAAATCCAGTTTCGTCTTGCATCTACCACATACTAGAAATTGTATATTGTCTCCCAAGTCCTTTGGTGTACGATCGCAGTTCTCACAGCGAACCAAGCGTTTTACCTTTATTGCTTCCGTCGTATCTCGGCCAAACGTCCCGCTCATATTCTCCGTGACATTGACAACTGAACTCATTCCCCTGCCTCGAACGATATCGCTTCTGATGGACTCCAAAGTATGTACGAAGAAATATGCTGCATAATTGATAAGTTCATTATTATTCGTGCAGCAGAACAAGTCAAGGTAAAGGAGAATTTACCAATAAACTCATTCCTGTTTAATGTGAGGCATTCATATGCGAACACCTCCTTCTCTGTTAAGGGTCTGGGCAAGCCATCCAACGCTTGGTTCCACCACGAACTGGGAAGTAACAAAATATCATCTGTCGAAAGTCTCTTCATGTTGGTATAATAGTCCAGAAAGTTCGAGAAAGCCCTTCCGTTGTCTCTCAAAAGACCGGAAACGGTAATTTCAGGGCATAGAGCACGAGCGTCTTGTCCCCAAGCGGCCAACTTGCATGCACCATGAAGGCCCTCGAATATATGCCTCCTCCGCTCAGCCTCGCCTAGCAAAAACCAAATTGTGCCCAAGTGCACCCCACCGAGCATTCCTCGCGAGATTTCTATTATCGTTTGCTGTAGCTTGAACACGTCACTGCGCAACCACTGCATGATAGAACGTTCCTCCTCCCCTATCTCGCGCCACATCATAGACATGACACGAAACACTTCTCGTGAACTACCTAACGATTGGAGAGTCTTTTCCCAACCATTGTTCCATTGAATACGATCTCTTGTCATATCCGTGATGTTGAATTTCATGGCCCAGCATGAAGGGATGTCATCTTGAGGCCCCCCTGGGTCGATGCTTGTAAGTAGGGTATCGACGGTGCCGCCAACGGTACCGCCTGGAATATTAGGTGTTAGTACTCCAGTATCGTTCGATATTGTGGACATGGTTGAAGGGTTGTAAGAAGAAAACGTGTGCGAGCTCAAGATAATATTTGGAATGCCTGCAGGGGCATGCCGTTAGTTGTGCCAACGTTTGGAAGAATCCTGGGTGTTCGAACTTCCCCGTTATCGATGCGGTCGCATGGCCTAAATTTTAAATTATAGTTACAGCCCAATTTATTGTTCCACGAACACAAGAGGCGCTCGTCCTTCCTCGTGAGCCCCTTTGTCTGAAAGTAATTCAAAAGGACAATCCGAATATAGTCAAAGGTCCACTGATATGGAGGAAAACGTGTTCCTTTCTCGCTTGGAAGATATTGAGGGGTATAAGCAGCTGCACTTCGCAAGTAAATCAGAAAAGTTATACACACAAACTCTTCGAAACTCCTTGACGACGTTTCCAGCGATGGTGACTAGACGTTTCTTTAATCGGGCCCGCACATGATGGCTCAACATCGACTTCTCAAGGCTTTTGAAACACGAGCTTTTTAGCGGCATAGCGCCCTTCACCGGTTACCAAACACACATCGTCTAGAAAATAATCCCCGAAATTCACCGACATGAATGTTGCCTAGAATTATCGGTAATCTTTCGAAGAGTGCTACGAGGGACAATGGCTTCCTTGCGCTTCACAAGCTTCACAGTTCGAACGTAACCTGGAAAGACATTGTGGGGACAAAATGACAGAAGGCACGTGGCAACGAGTACGGTCCGCACAACTCCGCGAATGTACCTTTCCACGATCACGGTCTTGGTTTTCCTCGCATGCACTGCAACGCGTTCTGCACCAAGCTAACGCATCCCGCCACGGCGCCACCAGCCCACCAAGACCATGCGTCGCGCTCAAAGCGCCCGACACCACGCAAGGCGTTCTCTGGCATTGGGGACAGACGACTTGGGAGTGCTCAGAGAGGCCGACGAGTCTCCTGAAGACGGTTTGCGACGCCAATTACTCGAGAAAAGTAGAGAGAATGATAAAGTACGCGAGTCTATCTACTTGTGGACCATCTCGCACTTAACATCATTGTTCAACATCTGGGTTCTGATATTTGCAGCTTCAGGCAACTATCTTGAGTCTACAAGCACAATTGTCTGAACGCCCCCCAATAGAGCACATCCAAGAGCTGGAGAAGGAGTATAAGGACCTTGAGCTGCTTCTACAAGGAACTCAGCGAGAGAATGAACGATGCATGTCAGAACTTGAGAGGTGCGACTTCCTTTTCTCGAACTTTTCACCTGACCAATTATTTATATTCCAGAGGGAGGAATCGCGAGAAGATGCTAGAGCAAGCATTAGCAAAGGTAGCAGGTGAAAATTGGCAGGTAAGGGTAAGGATACTCCGATCAGGAGCATGTTGATCTCAATTCATTTTATTTGTTGGCCCCGATTTAGTCGTCGCTAGATATAGCACCCACATCGTCTGCCATCGCTGCGCGGGCTGTCAGGAGATCCACCCTTCTCCCTCGGTCAACAGCTCCACCGAATGGTTCGAGTAACGGCTCTGATACTTCTGCTCAGCCATCTTCACAAGCTTCACACGAGTCCACTATGGCATACATGGATCAGATACGCATGCTTATACTAGGCATGGAGAAACAGATTCAAACTCGCGAGGAGACACTGACTAAAACGATTGAGCGGGCAGAAGGAGAGAAAACCAAGTACGAGAATATACGAAAGGAGGTTCTGGCAGAAGGCCTTTGATGAACAAAGGTTCCCTCACGAGGTTTGCTTATTTCATTTGTATCTTTTCCCTTCCTGTCTGTTTTTGCATTTGTATTCTAGGACTATACCCTCATGTACATTTCCTATCATGTTCTCTCACAATCCAACAAGGCACATCAAACACTTCTAGAACAGCTTATTGTTCAATACAGCTCTTTGAAACATTTCATCGCGCTCGCGGATCCATCCAAGCAACGCCTTAACTAAGCTAAAGGAAGCATTGTATCTGATCATACAATAATGCACATGTCAAACATGTGGTCAAAACAAATACGGAGTGGCGTGTATGATATCAACACGAGGACAGATTGAGCGGAGAGTGATGATTATGGCGCAATTCTGGAGCGCGAGGGCCAAGACTTGTGCGCTTCAAGCAAGGTGCTGTTCAGGCAAGAGGCACATCGTGCACCCATTTAAGCACCATGTCTTGTCATAAATTACTCAGTACATAAATCCAGCCTTCAAGCTACTTAGTAAACAATGCTTAAGTGGTCATAAGGAATCATGTGCCAACACTAATTTGAATCTACCATAAAAGACATCAGCATACCCAGCTTCATAGATAATCGCAAGAGTGACATTTTCTGCTCTGGGAGCCATCTCTACCGGCGCTACGCACCTCGCCGACAATAGCACCATTAGATGTTGACCAGAGGGTCGATGGAACGGCTAAGAACTCCTTTCGATATATGTTGTCAAGGTTCGAAACGAATTTTTCCTTGCCCTAGTAACGACTCAGAAGCTGTCTTCGATATGTCGAGCTGTCAGCTCACCATGTAATGACATATCAAATCTATAGCCAATAAGCAAAGCGTTAGAAAGAAACTTTAAACCAAACCGTTATTGCACATACCAGTATTCTCAGCATATATGAGCAGTCTAATTACCATCACTAATTAGTTCTGAGAGTAAAGCAGCACGTAAGAAGCGAAACTTGAGATTAATTGGGACACTGCAGGACTCGTATTTTCGCGAATCGCGACGGGTTGACTCCAAGCGCTAACTTCGCCGCTGACTCATTCATCCACTTCTCTGCCCAAATCATTTCTTTGTAGCAGAGGCTACCATTTTCTTCGAGCTTACATTGCTTTCGGGCGTCATACATATTTTGATCATGGCCTGTTCACAAATTAAGAGATATAGATATACAAAAGTGAGGAGGCATCCGAACGTACTGAAGACTGGTCCAAAAACGCTATTCCAGCAATACACGGAGGCGGGGATACAAGTCAGTCTGGATTCAAATCTGTAGCATCCCTCAATGAGCCTTTCGCACACCGCTGCGCTGATGCGCAACCTAGTGCACTCCGACCCAAACGGGTCGTCATAAATAGCATACGGCCCTTCGCAGGCGTACTCAACCACTGATGGCATCTGAGTGCGGGGATCTACCAGCCCGTTTCCAACCATAACTGATGCTAGATTTATCCTTTTGAGGTTAGGGTCAAACAATGCACTGAGTTCCCTGTTTTTTGTGTATCTCGCTAGCAATGTGTGGCAAGAATCTCCCGCCATAACTCTCTGCAGCCAAGTGAAAAGGTGCGTCCGCATATTTTGGGAACCGCCGCACGAAGAGCTCGAGAAATGCGTATACGTCCTTTGCAGCTTCAGGCGAGGTAGTCACCTGCGAGCCATCGGTGGAGTAGGAGAAGCCAACATCGATTGGTTGGTCTAGGAAGATAATATTAGCCTGTTGGTACCAACTGTGTGGGTTGTAGGTCGTGTTGTTCCCCTCATCAACTACGCTGCATGGGCCCAGTTCGAACAAAAGACCAGTAGAAAAGCTACATCCCGGGCCGCCGTTCAACCATAGGAGTAAGGGATCTTCCGAGGGCGATGAACGGGATTCGAAGAACCTGTTGAACATTGTTCAGTGCTCGAAAAGAAGAAAAGATGTAGCGCAACGTGTAGTACAGGCTGAAATAATTACAGTACCAGAAAAACAGATGTTTTCCCTCACTAATGTCCAGATATCTAGAATACTGCTGAACTGTAGGATTGCAGAGCTGGGGCTCCGTGATTCTCAGCTGATAATTTTAAAACGAGGGGTGCGATGCAAGCTCACCTTTACAAAATACGGTTTTAGTGCGAGTACTAAGGAAACCGTTCTATCGTTACTTATAGACAGCGTTCTCTGCCACAAGAGTTTTTCCGCCATCGTCAAGGTGTTTGCCATAAAATAATGAACTATATATGCAGGCGTGTATTTTCAGTAGAGGTCAGGATGAATTCGATCGTAGTCCAAGATACATACCTGCTAGATGTTTTCTGAGATTTGGCCCCTCTAGAACGATTTGATCACTTGTTGGGAACCCCAAAACGAGTGGGAAGATCAAGGAGTTGAACAGCGCTGTCCCGGGCCTCATTATCGAGCAACTGTCGACCGAACCTTCGGAGGGCTTCAGATGCTGCGAATATATAGACCCTCTTCAGACAACTTGAATGGAGTAGTATCGAGAGAATAGTTCATGTGAATATGATGTTGGTTCAGTGACATTTGCAGTAAGACTACCGTGGTCGTGGCCAATCCTGTTCGGCGGCAATAAACGCGTTACCTCAGCGGGCCGTAATTAGGGGTGTACCAAGTCGTCAACTACATGTTGACATGATATTACTGCCCAAGACACAGATGCTACAAAAGAGAGTGGGCGATAGTGATATGACTACAAATGCAATGATCACAACATATCGGAGTGACGAAAACTGTGCTGAAGTGGAAACGAATACGAAATTTTGAGAAATGAGCCAGCACTTCAGCCACCTGCACAAGGAGCACGCAGGAAATTTGAAGATGATGCGCGAAGTAAATGGAGGAGAAGCGAGAGCTTTACGATGGATGGAAATAAGCATGATTGGAAATGCGTACAAGTTCGATGCGAAGATTGTTCGATAAACATTGCAGAGTGAATAGTTGGACAAAACCGAGTGGGTGTTTCTGTGCGTGATGCGATGTGAATTGATGATAGGCGGCAGTGAAAGATCGGAGAATGGTCATATTTCGTCTTTGAAGAACTTCCGAGATTCAATGGGCGATAGGACAAAGCATGGTATTGGATGCCATGCTATATGGGTGAAATTTCCAATTGAAGAGAAAACATGAAGGAGCCGTTGGGATGACTTCAAGATACCGTGGAAAAGATCGAAAGATGGATGCAAAAAATGTGGGGCTGTAAAGTGAATGCGCTTCATTGTCGGACTCTTCAGTAGCCGTAGTAGGCACGCTAAAGACTGGTCAGTCTTCTACGCTCAAGAATGAAATTCTACTCATCGAACCATTCTGTCACTGAGGGGAATTGTCAATATATAGCATGGTAATAAGGAAGATCTTGCTTACAACAACCATATGACTTTGGAACCTGTCTTGCAACCCCGTAAAGTAACAATATGACCACGAATACATTCATAAAGAAGGGTTCGTTGATCTTTATCTGCCTGTTTGTTGTGTAAGTGTGAAGATGCAATTCGAATAAACCATGTAATTATTTCATACATTAGGCAGAGTACTCGCGATAAGCTGGCTTCCGGTGACTGATAAAGCCAAGTCGACGATCATCGCCCGACGGCCCCTAGTTCGAATGATTGAGTGAATATGAACTTCGGAGTGCACGTCATGCTCACCCTTTAGCAGACTCACACATCCTTTTAACAATCTTGTCCAACGCTTCCTTACCACCTTCTTTGAGAGCTTTGGTGACAGACTTGTATCCCTGTTCGTTTGTGGCATATTCTAATAAACCAGATAGGAGGTGATCTAAGGTTATTTGACGATGTTTGGGAGACCCATGTTCCAATACTGTACAGAATACGAGTTAGTCAAGGTCGTGAAAGAAAGCGTAACTACGTACTATGCTGGATGCAATACGAGCCCCATTGATTTTTCGTTATTTCGCCAAAGACAGCTGGGCCCTGGTCAAGTAGTTCGTCTATAATCCCACCTTTCGCAGATTCTTCCAGGTTTTCAAAGGCGTGCTAAAGAGGGTTCAGGAGACTACACAAATGGACAAACTTTGTGTCTCACCTGCACAACGAGCGAACCCGTTTCGTGACAAGCCAAAGATGCCCACTTCCCTTTCAAAGACTTGTTCACACTGTAGAAGACAGGGCAGGTTGGTTTAAATAGTCAAAAACGTCTAATTTTGTCGACTTACTAGGCGAAGATGGGAGGCGCGGGGGCCGTCCAGCTTAATTCCATGATCTGACAATAGATTCTAGAGTCAAATAACAGGCATCTACGGAGGATTCTCACCTTGCTCCATACATGAGAGGCATGTTTGTTAATAAGAGTCAACGCAGGGTCGCCAAGGAGGAGCTCTGAAACTATCAACAACCTGATATCCTCCTCGCAGTCAAGGGCTTTTTGAAGGACATGGCATCCGTAACAATTGGTCGCGAGATCAACAACTCGACCTCTGTACGGTAGAAAAAGGAGTTCAGTGGCTGTAGAGGGACTAGGATCGAACGAAAAGCGTCACCTCATGCAAGCGACTATCTTTCTTCTTTCTTCGGTCGTCGCAGCCGCTTCCAAGCACCTCTGGACTGCCCAGTTGCCGAAACTGCCGCATATATGCCATGAAAAAGCAGCACATGGTAGTGAATCAAGCGGAGCACTGACCGGTGAGACATCATTTCGAAACCTCGTGCGCATATAGCATCTACAATCTTATGACGCTCGTCTAAGTCGGCGACCTTTAATTTTTGCTGCAGGAAAATGGACGCCTGTTGATCCGAGGACTTGATTATGCGAGCCACAAAAACGTGGTAAGGAGGAGACGAGGACGGGTGCAAAAGGGACAAAAAGTTAATAGGCTACACGTCGAAAAGGGCGCATATAAGCATGTAAGAAGCGTCATAGTGAAAAATAATCATCACCTCGTGCCCATGTGTGCTGCCTTGGGGCTGTCCCTGTCCACGACTTTGGTACGCGAACTGAGAAGAGGACCGCATGTGATCCTCGTTGACAGCCATACCAGAAGCATATTCGGCCGCTGGCTTTTCGTCGGGCCTATGCCAATCCGTAGGCGCCCCAAATTGCTGCTGACGCCAGGACATGGAAGGTACACGTGAAGAATCTGGGCGGCGGCAAATTCCAGAAAAGGCACTATCATATAGAGACTGCGAGGGAGGAATAGGGGAGGGATGCTCTGAGAATGGCTCAAAAAAAGGGAAGACATTAGGGACTAGCTGATTGGTAGACTGGGAATTATGAAGTCTCTGCGATAAATTCTGAGCTGAAGACAAAAGTTCGTGGTTTCTATAAGGGGAAACAGGGTCAAATAAGAGAGACGGCTGTGCTATATTAGGATGGGGAGTATATTCGTGAGGGGGATTAAGTTTTAAGTCAAAAATTTTCGCAGGAGAAAGATCTGTGGGTGTCAAAAGCGTAGAAGTCGTAGAGCTTGGGGACAAATCCGGAGAGCCGGGCGACCCATTCGCAGCTTCGACATTAAGAGAAAGGGGAAAATGCTGAGGATAAGGAGCGGGGGAGTTGAGGTTGAGGGCTCGTAAAATTTGCTCGGCATACTAAAAATAACCTGATTCAGTCTAAGGCCGTTTGCACGATAAAAGAAGAAAACAAACACTATCATCAAACTCGGGGCTACTTTTCTTCCTGCCATCACCGATGGCGCCAATGTCCTTTTTGCGAGGAATTCCGACCAGTCCAACGGGACCGAACACGTCTTCACTGCCTCCAAGCGGCGCATGAGACGCAGAAGAGTTTCGTGGACGGGCGGGCTGCTGCGGCTCCCTCTCTGCATCGCGAGAGAAGGAATCGATAGCTTTTGGCCAGGTCATTTCCAAAGGTTGCGGCTTTGGAGCCCAGATTGAAGAGGCGGAGGTCTGGCGAGAACGAGGGGGACTATGATCCTTGATATAAGGAAGAAAAGATTGGGATTTGTCGGACTGGTGCATATCGGTGAGTGCAGGAAGTGGGAAAGGAAAGGAGGGGGATGATGGGGGGGATGAGGAAGAAAAGAAAAATCGAGAAAGAAAGGGTTTTATACATGCTCGAAATTCTGTGACGACGTCAAGTCAAGGAAGTCACATTCCTTTTTGGGGAGAGATTCGCCCGAAGTTAGAAGCTTCTGAGTGGCGATCGAGGTCATTTCAGCCACCACGCTGACAGACAAGAGGGTTAGCAAGTCGTCTACCATCCATCGATATCAGTGCATGCGCTAGAACGCACTCACTAGGTATACGCATACGGCGCATTGGACATGTGATGATATTGAGCAATCCAGGCGAAGCGTGATGGTCCAAGAAATCATGACATCGAAGGTATCCGTCAAATGTGAATGCACTCTTCACCAGATTCTTCACCACCTTCAGTCTATCACTTACATCTTGGAACGTCTTCCAGCAGATAACACCACGCACGTTCGCAGGTGGATAATATCGGAAAACAACATCGAAAATGCTCAACAACATTGGGACCGCTGCTATTATCTTGACTTTCGCGGCCACAATTAGCTCCACAATCACTGAGATGTATGAACAGAACAACTATAACCGCTGAATCAGACTTCCCAAAGATGACCTGTCTTTAATGAAAAGATAGGCACCAGCTTGTCTTAATCGGGAAAAGTGAACTCTACGGGTGATGCGACGCACAAACCAAAGATAAACATTACTAGTGCAAACCGTACAGGGCAGGGAATGTCCACACGGTGCGGCCTCTGCGCGAGGTACACTATCTTGCTATCCCTGGCGTGATGAACACAAACAGCAGTCAGCTGCAAAGCCCCAGCCGAAGACCCCACATCCTACAAAATCAGGAAACCACCCGTTAGTCGCGTGAACCTGGAAAGTCTTCTTACTCCTCTCTACACTAAATCAGAGAGCTTTTACATGATGTCGACGATAAGGCCCCGCTTACCTTCAGGCACATCGAAAATGACAGCGCTGAACACGTACAGAAAGACGATAGGGAAAAATATCGGATAAATCGCCGTAAGTAATCTGGAGCTTGTTTTGTATCCTGAGGTCCTAAGACGCTATAAACTTCAATTCAGTCACCTTTCACATTCACATAGGTCAGTTGGGATCAGCCACACATTGCCTGAGAAACGGGACCTACAGCTGAATTGAACTGCACAACCTGCCAAGGAGATACTATATGTAAACACTGCACGTCAAGCTCACCGTATCCTTATGCTGCGATTGTGAAGAGAACGGATGCAATGAGAAAAAGGGGGCATTTACGGAGATGGTGTGAATAGAGAGCCTTGTTTGACGTATGAAACGAGTGTGTTACTACCAAGAATTCATGGCTCCGATTCTAACGTACCGTAGAGATTGAGACTAAGATGGTTATTCAGATAGTGCGCACGCCACAAGTCGCGCCGAAGAGGCACAGGACAACTAGGTTTGATAGGGATAAACATCTTAGCGCACTGCGCAGAGGAGTAAAATGCTTGTGTTTACCGTATTGGTCTGATGAAGCACTATTGTCCTTGAGCCACGTTTGTAAGGCGTCCCGTATGTAAATGTGCTCCAGCGGAGCGCGCATGCACCACATAACTATGGAGCAGCCATGTAGCACCGTGCTAATAGTTTCAAGGGAGGGTAACGTGCTGCAAAACATCCGATAGCAAATCGACGACGCGGAACTGCGAAGACTTGGTAGGAAAAGGCGCCTGCAGAAAGCAGTGTATGTTCAGCGAAGGCGCCCCAAGGATCGTGTCTACAGTGAGTACACTGGTGGAGTACAGCGGGGTGCGGCCAAAAAAAAAAAAAAAAGGCGTCAGCATCGACGATGCATGTGCAATGCAAAAACGCAAGGTGCTAGCCAGAGATAGATGAATGTCGCCACGAGCATGGTCAAGAAGGGTGGCTCTAGCCTCAGAAAGCCCTTGCAAACCATATACGAATAAAATGTACAACACTCCGCGCCTTCAATGATCCGACCATTGTCAGAAAAAGGTGAGGAATTTGCAATTCGAGCGTAGCTGGGAACTGGAAAGGGAAGTGGATTGGATTGGATAGAAGATCCGGTCGCCTACACGTCCTCACCAAAAAGGAGGGCAGCACAAGGAAGAACTAGGCCGATGGGTGAAGAGCTGTGCACTAAGCTGTGGTACGATATTGACTTTGTCGAATATAGGCTGGTCTACGGATATTTCTATTGCCCATGTATAATGCCATAATGTCCAAAGATCGACCTTGTGCAGTGTGATGAAGGAGGGATATTATTCATCTTAGATCAATGATCTGAAAGTTGATGGACTTACCTCTGGAGAAGAGCCAATATGACGGCAGTCTTGAAGTAAGCACGTCATGAACGTAAGAAAGATAGGATACCACAGGATGGTAGATGAATGCATGAATCAGCAGATCAGACCGAAGCTTTTGGACTATGCCACTTGTGTGTTTCTCTCGCTTCCACGGCTTTATTCATGATTTCTTCTGCCAAATCGATAGAGACAGCATCAAAATCAGCGAGTAATCACCTGAACGGGGCCCGCCGAAGGTTAATCGGCGATAAGGGCCCGCGTCTAAAATTACAAGACTGACTTACAGTTTGCTATATAGGAACACCACAAATGTTAATGATTAGAGTTCACCTGCCGTAGGGTCCGACAACCATGGGCTCGCTCACACAATGGTATCAGCGTATGGACCGCGAGCTCAATGTTCTAGATAATAGCAATATAGGCCCTTGATAGTCACCGCGTTCCTGTGAAATTTCACCATGGTGCATGACACTGGTTATCCTAAGAAGCAGTGAAAGAAGGGGGCATGTTATATTACTTCCCCCTCAAGAGAATTAGCCAAAGTCCATATGCGCTGTAAATTAAAAACAACAGGTTGAGATAAAGAGACGATTGACAGCGGAGACACAAATAAACAGCGGGAGCGAGTTATGAGGTTGACTTGAGGCAGATGAGTGTCCCGGGTGAATCGGGAGGAGTACATTCCATGCATCGCCGTGGGACAAGCATTACTACTTTGGACACAAGGCAAACGCCGAGACTTAGAATAGCGAAACCGATGACGAGTGACCAAGCACTACAAAACCATAGTGTCCCAATCGGTCTATTCTAACGAGAAAACCTAAGTCAGATCATGATTCAATGTTTTGCCACAAACGCACTCGCTTAATCACACGCACAGAGATTGATGCGGCGGAGACTGAGCCATGCAGTGGGTCTGGTGAGGGAACTACGAAATAAACGCACGAGTGGCCCATCAGTGTATTTGATGACCTCGATATTCCAACCCCACCTGTAGACGTAAAAAGCCGGGGTGAAGGCGATAAGAGGGTTGCTTCTTGTAACTGTTACAGCAGCTCAGACTGGAGGATAACGTTGTTGTAAATGGCTGGATGATCTGCCTAGGATGCGAGTACGATGTAGAAGTCTCCATGGATGTAGATTTGTCGTCAAGACTGATTGGAAAAATGGGGATTGAATTGCTGGAGAGTTGGCGGAGTTAGAGAAAGAGGATTGAAACGGCGTTCATTTGGAATCACCACTGGCATCCGATTTGGAGTGTTTGATCGCTGACCTTTCGACATACATAGCATGATCAATGACCAATTGCAAGTCGAGTACCGTAGCGAGCCGGATTTCCCTAGTGGGGAGATTGATGTAGTCAGCCAGAGAACCGGTAACCACTGAGCAGCGTAAGAAACCGTTATCTATAGACCATGCAGACAGGGTGGATCCGTAGCAGCGTGCACAAAGTATTCATGCTGGAGGGGATTGTGATACTGAGGTGGTGATGCGGCAAAAAGTGAAAGAAGGGCAGTATGGTTTTGGCAGTTTTACACGTCATGTTCATATTAGCAGTAATGAAGGAACAGACGGCTGTGGCGCCGAGAGAGACGAGAGGAGAGACCGGTGCCGTAGTGCAAGGGCGGGGAGGTGAGTCTGGAACTTACCGGGGCGGTGTTTAGTAAGATCGTACGTACCGCTGATGCCCAGAACGAACATCCCCGCTTCCAAGCATCCATCCCCGCCGAACCGGCCGTGACTCAAAGCATTCCCACGATCATCCTTCGAATTCTCGAGTTCATAACGCCTGACGGAGATACTTTTATAGGCCAATTAGCTTAGTATAATGACCGAACTCGTGTAAACTCGCGCTCCTCAGTACATAAAATCCCAAGCCCTCAACCGCCATTCCTTTCTTTTTTTCCTTTTCTTTTTCTTTCCTTCTCCATCCCAAACATGCTCGCCGTACATCACATCCCTGCTTATCACCTATCGCCCCTGCTCAAAATACCCAAGGAAGTTCTCGAGGATATCGCTCTCGAGGTTGTATCCTCCGATCTCCTGGGCCCCCCTTCGGCCCTCCTCCCATTGTTGTCATGTTGTAAGTACATCAGTGAGGTCTGTCGAAGCAGCCATTTCCTCGGTCGCGTCTTCAAGACCCGATTCGATACTCGCGCGATCACCCGGCGCATGGGTACCCAAGCTTTCGCTTCTTCGTATCTCGCCAACCAGCTCCGAGTCTACTCCCTCGCTCTTAACACTATTCGCCGTGCAGATATCCGCCACCCGGAAATCCTACCTACTTTCTGGACGTGCCTTTTCATGCTGCTCGAGAACGACGGTAAGAACCGTTATCAGCTCGGCTGGGCTGGCCTCGATAATTTTGTCGACGAGTTCGTTCGAACGCGGCTCTATGAAGGGAGCACCCAGCTCAATGGCTGGCCCAGCGACAATACCCTCAACTCTTTGGCACTTTGGTTAATGTGGATGACCACCACCTCAGGTAAGCATATTTCCCTATCGCGTTGATGATCACCACTTATATCCTACTAGAGAAACTCGAGTCCGAATCTCCTCAGCGCCGGCACCAAATAATCCAACTCGTTCTTCCTTACGTAGTTTTACCTTTCCGCGTATGTTTTACCTTCGTTTGACTTTTTCTAACCGCTAATTCTCCCTTCAGTACCCCACAGCCATAGTGCCTCATAATCACTACAGTATACCTCTGTCGGAAACTTTTAATCAGCAATTCCCTCGCTCCGTTTTAACAGCACACGGAAGCTACCCATTATATCGCAACAATACCGTACACACTTTTTCACATTATGACCGAGACGATCTTAAAATGGACACACCACTAATCAGCATAGCCGCAAAACTTTTGTATTTCTCTCGCCGCGGGGTCGTCCCGCTAGGTGTCCCTCCTCACCTCCCTTACAACCGTGCTCACGCTCTCCAGCTCGGGTTTAACATGGTAGGACCCACACAAGAAGATATTCACGAACTCAACGCACATAAATTCGCCAAACTCGTTCCGCGCATGCAGTGGGACTGGAGAGCCGCTCTGACCGATCGGCAACTCGCTCTCGACGAAGAAGGCTTTGACCAATCTGCTTCCGTGCAGTGGGAGAACGATTGGTCCAGATTGACGGAATGCATCGACCCGTTCTCTCGCATGTCGATTCCCAGCACAAAGTACGCATTTGGCCTCCTAGATGGTTTATGGCAAGGTCGTCTTCTGGTAAGAAATCAACATTCGCTTTCTACCAATTATTCTAACCGCTAGTTCTTTCCGTTCAAAGGTTCCTAACGAACCCGACTTTGTAGGCCTCATTACTCAGCCTCAACGGCCTGCAAATTTCAGCGAGATGAACCCGCTTTTTATTTCGTCGCCGGTTTATATGCGCCTTCGTGAGCAACACTGTATTGACCCGCAGGAACCTGTTGCTTGCGGTGGAAATGGTGATAATTTCGACGATGGATTAACGAACGCATGGATGCCGTTATGCAAACTGCGCGAAGAACAGGTAAAAGCTATGCGTATTTTTTTCTGACGTTAATCTCACCGTTTTGTGGCTTAATTAGGGCAAGGTGATGGTCGAGGACAATCAAGGCAACGCGTCTACATACGAACGATATGTTCCCGGTGAACCCAATTCGCATGACGAGGATACATGTGGTTCGTGTCAGTACCGCGGTACCTCGGACATAGTATATCGAGGAAGGCCAGGGTCTCCGGAGTGCGACTACGAAGCAGATTTCGAGAGCGTTGGCCTTGGTAGAAGAACTGAAGGAGAGGATGAGGATGAAGACGAAATTATGGAGGATGTGGACGACGATATGGAAGGACTGATGGAATATTGTGTATCTGCCGAGTGCTCAGGGATTCTGGATATTGTCCTGACGGGCGAGGTAAGTGAATTATAACATTTAAACCCATTTGGTTACTAACTTGATGGTGTAGACTGACCTCAATCATAGTCGAGCTTGGAATCCCTACAAATTCTATGGTAGGGTTCGTCTCTGGGATGGACTGATAGCCATTGTGCGCGTTCCTGTGAGTGGTCTTCCGTTTTTCCCTATAACATCAATCTCAAGTCTTTTCTCCAGGTTAATAATGGTGGTGATCCAGACCGCCGGTTCGGACGTTGGATTTTTACTGGTTATGTCGTAGGAGGTCAAAATTTTGTGGGCACCTGGCGGTCTGTCGGCTCTGATGTTTCGGTAGGTGTGCCAACGTGGGAGTCGGCATTCGTCATGTCCCGTCGAGAATAAGCTATTTTAAAGCGAGCCTGATGGACAAGTACCCCCCTTTCTCACTCTCTGTAAAGTATCTAAAAAATTCTGCTTGAACACTTGTTGTATACATTCTTGTTACTCCCGCAATATGTTCCCCATTTCTGTACATCTCATCATCTTTAGCATTGCCATGTTTTTTCTTCTATTCATTGCATCGCCCGTCCATAGTTTACTAGTACTTATCTTGTTAACATAGTGCCATATTTTCTGTTTTGTATTGCATGCCAGACCTATCTGTAATCATTTCATCATTTTCTTACACGCAATAACATCGTGTCGCTCTCATCCACTTGGTATGCGTCGACAATATCGGCTTTCACTAAACGTTTCGCCCCTGTCAGGTTATGTCAGAGCACAGGATGAGCTGAGTGAGAAATGTAGCGCCGCAATTCACCTAAATTGGCAGGTGTCGTGAAGGCAATTGGTTGTCAAGTGCGCGAGTGTATGGTGTTCCTGAGACAGTTGCTTGACAGGAAAAATCAAAAGGCCACACGACTCGCCATGCATTTCCCCTTGGAATTGTGTGGGACCTGCATAGGTCACGCTTTTGCTCTGTTTCAGTACGCCAGTCCATGTTTTTATCGCATCGAGCACCTTGACCACCGCAGTCCTCTCACACTTGACCCATAATTGTCTCGCTCATACAAGTAAAGGAGAGGCGCTTCCCAGTTACACGGTATTGTCTCATAACCTCATTGGTGTAGCGCTGGACTGTCAAACGAATTCACTGGTACTATGATCACGCGATCTCCGAGCTCTTCTTCGTTGCTGACCTCCTTCGTTCTATTCCCTCAGCGACGCAGTACTCGGTAGTGGTATCCAAGCCGCGATCTTACAACCTTCCCACTATCGTGCACATTATCTGACTCAGTTTTATTGGAAAACATTGGTCGAGCCATTCAAACCACGGTGGTTCGGTTGCTGTCTCCCATTCGCTAATGGTCCCGAGAGAAACGAGAGCTAAACATGAACCCCGTCTTTCTCTCATTATTCAGCTTGCCTCGCCAACATCGACTCCAGAGACACCTTCAAATCTTACCATGACTTCAAAGGACAAGCGTAGCAAAAGGAGTCTTGACGGTTCGTTAAACCATCACTCGTCAAGGCCTTCAACAGCTTCAGGGTCGTCAGATGGCACTCTGATCGCTCATACAGGTATCCCAGCCCTCCCACCATCTCTACATCTCGACATGAGTTTCGGCCACACGAGAAATTCTACTATGCCATCCCCCTCTCAGTTTAGACCGAAGGAAAAGGCGAAGAAAACTCGGAAGCTCAGTCAAGTGTTTAGTGATCTTGGGTTTGCAAATCATGCACGGACAGATCAGGAGAAGTTGGGTGAGGGAAGCGCTTCTGCACATGGTATCACACGCGTAGCTCCAGATCCATCATTCGCTACTCATCGAGGGGGAAAGCGGCTAGTAAAACAGCCTTCACTCCGTGTCTCAGCCAGATCAAGCACAGCACAAGCAGACTCCCTAGAGAGATCCCTCCCATCGTCTCGTCCATCTGCCTTAACATCACCCACATCGTACAGAGCCACGAAAATCAGTCCCCTGTCCTCTATCGTTTCCCCCATCGCGTCGGAAAGGAGCGAGCAGTCGTGGGATGACGAGTTAGGGGGTCCGATACCTAAGAGTCAAGAGCAACTTCAGCGAGCTAGGTTGGCAAAGCTAGCCCGTCATCTGGGCGAGGATATTCCACCAGAACTGGTCATATTACCCAGTGTCGGCAGGTCTCCCAATGCTATAAAACTACCACGCGCGAGGCCCGCTACTATGCACGAGCGACGAAAGAGCCTTGACGTTTCTTTGCTTGCACCGGCTAAGCCTTTGCCCTCGTACTCTCACACGACTAGCGAAAACAGTCAATATTTAAAGAGGAGTAAATCACTACGAGCAAGTAAGGAGGAGCAGATGAAAGCTCAGTCGGAGCTACCCGAGAAGCATAACAATCTGGGCGACAAATCGAAGTTACTGGGCGATAAAAGCTCACGTGAAGCTATACAAGTTCGTCCTTTCTCTCTTCAGGCACATGTCACGTTTGTTAATATCTTATCTATGGACATTTGCTTAGGGTACTCGTGCAGGTCCCGAACGACGAATGCGTGATACTGCGCAAGCAGGGAATATCGAAAATCCCGATACGCCTATTGCACCCAGTCAAGAATGTCAACTGCCACCGTCTAGTGCATTTTCTCATGATCTTCCGCTTGAACCTTCATCAGATGTGCCCGCTGTCAGCGATAAGACTATCACTTCGCAGCTGGCAGACGTAACAGTCCAGCCGCATAGTGATCAGGGTGATAGTCATATGGCAAAGCAAGGCTCTTCACCTCATCCTCCTGCCCCTCCAAGACCAACGCATAGTACGCCTAGGCCGTTCCCCACCGTAGGGCCTCTACCCCGTCGACCGGCGACTGCAGATGGGTCAGATTCAGCAAACACGTTCAAGGCACGCCGGCGTCGCGCTGAAAAACTGGCAAACTTCTTCGGTGTGGACTACCAAGACCTCTCCGCCACTGGTATTCTAGAATGCGACCCTGTGGTGGAGGAGGCGTCTGCTGCAGATGTTGCAGCTGATTCACCTGCACCATTTTCACCGCCACCAACAAGTGCGAGCGTCCAAGTTGATGTTAAAGTCAGCAAACCCTCTCGTTTTTGGAATTTCATGGATGGACGAAATAGTCTGAGACATGCCAACGTCGATGATGTGATTGGGCAATTGAGGGCGATGAAGGCGTCTACTTGAACACACCCATACTTCGACTTATCTTTCTTGAAATGACAATATTTTTGTAGGGGTAGGGACGATGGGGACACATTGTACATTTGTATGATTAGCTTGCATGGTTTCTGTGTGGCTGGCTACACTCATTTGGCATAACTTAGGTATTTCTATCTACTCGTTTTACGATACTGTAGTATCTAAGTCGATCAGCGAATCCATGCGCTCATTGTAACTCACCTTCATCAACTCATGAATCGTTTAGTGTCGTTTGCAGATCGCAGAAGTTATGACTTTGTCGAGCTATGGTGACCGGAGAAAGCGGTCCCCCGGACCGGACCGTTTAATTCCCACTGACCTGAGCAACCTGAGCCGACTTATCTTGTCGTTCCGTCACTTTTGTTCGTGCGTCTTGCTTAGACTGACATCGACACCTGTTTTGCCCTCAGGTTGTTCTCTGGACCGGTCTGCCTCATGCAGCTGCAGAATACAGAACCAAATGTTTTGAAGATCATCGCAGGAAAGCTGTTTGATTCGTACACCCTAGAGTTATTGGAGAACCGAGTTATCACCGTTAGCGAAGATTCTGGCATCATTCTCGACGTCCAACCGTTCTCTAGCAGTACTCATGGCCTAAACTTCTCTGACTCTCAAATTATAGATCTGAGACATTTAACGGTACTCCCCGGTTTCGTGGATACACATGTTCACTGTAAGTATCTACATTGCATAAATTGTCAATCTCGTCACTACCTTTGCACATTTGTACTTCATTCTCCGCAGTCTTCTTGCACCCATATTCCGAGACTTCTTGGGAGGATCAGCTCACCAAGGAGCATGTTGTGGAGCGCACTGTTAGGGCAACGCAACATGCAAAAAGGACGCTCATGGCAGGGTTCACTGCCGTAAGGTATGTTCTACTCGGGAGGCAGCGCGAACCATCCCCTAACCGTAGACATCTCGTGCATAGGGACTTAGGCACAGAAGGCGCGGGTGAGGCTGATATCGCACTTCGCAAGTGCCTCTCCAATCCTGGTGCTCTCATCCCCGGACCGAGGTATTTTTGTGCCACGAGGGCTATCGTTTCTACTGGAAGTTACGGTTGGTATCTCCTCAATTCGTACACACCTTTTTACATACAATAATATGGGGAACCCCGTGTGACATGGGACGCGTTTACAAAGGCCCTAAAAGTGTCATTCATGTGAACAGAGAAGGCATTGAAGGTATCACTGGCGCTGAGGCTGCGGACGGACGCGACGAATGTATGAAGGTGGTTCGCAGGCAGGTTGGTGCGGGCGCGGATTGGATTAAGGTGAATAGCTAGCTATCAATCCCTCATGTTTATCATATGATAACTTATTAAATGCAGATTTACGCAGGTAATTATCTGCTGTTAAGTCTATATTCAGTCGGTTTCTAATACTGATGAATCCGATCATTTTTTTTTCGTAAAGATTACCGTGTTCGTTCTAGAGTGATCAATGTGTCGTCACCCGCGGGGAAAGAATCAATCTGTACGTTCACGTCTGACGAACTGAAGACGATGATAGATACGGCCCACCGATATGGTGTCAAGGTTGCCGCACATGCAACTAACAAGGACACTATCACGGAACTTCTACGCCACTCTGTGGATTCCATCGAACACGGGTACGATATGGCCTCATACGATCCTGATCACACTGATAAGTCACTCGACGAACCGCTCCGAACCTGTTCGCAGTCGCGTGTAAAGTGGTGTCCAACTTTGGCGGCCTACTTCACCTTAGGACAAGGGCATGGTGAGACTTGGGAGCACGCGGTTCAGTCGTTCAAAGCTGCCCTCGCGTGTGGCATGGATAATATCGCATGCGGTGGCGATACTGGCGTCTTTGCACACGGAGAGAATGCCTTGGAGTTGGTTTTAATGAACAGGCTAGGTGCTGATTGGAGAAAAGTCTTGAAATGGGCGACACTGGGGGGCTGGGAGTGCATCAGATCTATGAAATGGGAAGGACGCAAGGGAGAGGCTAGGTTTGCCAAAGTACGCGATCTCAGGGAGGACCCAAGGATTGTTGGCGATAACGAGGTTCCTTTTGGGGCTGTGGCAAGAGGCTTCATTGGCGATATTATCGCGACCTCGGGGAATTTTGAGAGTGACTTTGAAAGCGCGGTGTCCGCGGATAACATCCAGTTTGTTATGAAGGGCGGTAAAGTATACAAACGGGACGGTAGACCACTTTTGTAGGACCGGCTGACGGGAGCAATCTCATCTGAGTAGACTAGGAACAAGCGTGCTGATGGGTAATGTAGTGCGATGTAATACTGATGACACTGAAGTGGCTGTCATACTATACAAGCAACTTTCCAAGGGAACGCTCAAATTAAGATTGGACCCTGCTAAAGAACCCTGTAAAGCCCGTACTCCCCCCCTCGACACCAATTATCTGATGTGTGCAGGACGGAAATGAAAACATTCGTTTACTTGCTGGTATGGTGCCATGGTACTTATCTCGAAGGTTGTCCCAAAGTCCAAACCATTAAGGTTGCCAAATCGGGACAGGCGTAAATGTGCGAACGATTTGTAAGCAGCTGTATAGTTCTTTCCAAGTATATCACCTTCCAAAACTTCCGGTGAAGGGTCTGACGCTCATGGACCAAAGACAGGCGCTTTTTCGCTTTTAGACGCTGACGAATGGATTCATTCTCGACGACTAGTCAAGCAACAATCGACAATTGCTAGTGTTTCAATGTGCGATGCTCTTCAAACGTTGTTCATCTGTCGTGACCAAACCGGATGATTATTAATGCTTTTTCTTCACTTCGTGCATTCTAATGACGCTGTTTCGTGAATGTTATCGGACCAATGGATTCTTCTAGTACCATGAACCAAGTCAAGGCCCCCTTTACCGTTCAGGAAATCTCACAATGGGGGCCTGTTACGTTCGTGGAAGATGAACTCGGTTTTGTTGCCTGCTGCGAGGCTTCGTCATGAAGTCTAGTAGATCAACAGGTTACTTAGCCTGAAGCGTTCCTTCAGAGTTGAGTTCGATTTGTGCTCTCGTGCCTACCTTCCCCATCGGACTCGTAGTTTTGGAACAAACATTATTTATTGTATAGTTCGTCTATATTTTGTTTCTTGTAGTAAGTTCTATGCAATAACAAATTCATTTTGTCATTTCTGTTGGCACATGTAGTCTTGAAGCTGCTCTATCTTATGATCATGAGACTATCGTTCGTGTTCAAGAGTTGATTTGCTTGTTGAAACGAATTTTATTTGACATATGCAGTGTTGCAGCTGCAGAGATTGTGTTTCAGTCGTAGGACTGACCAGACTGTTCAAACATTCCTATAAACCAAACATGCACAAATTTGCCTCAATTCCATACGGCGTTCACTCTATCTCACCCAGGACCTACACGTTAACCCAAGGCAGTCTTTGCTTATATATTCGGGACATTGTGTGTAACTAGGTATCGAGGTCCAGCTCTCAAACGATCCCAGGATAAAAGCGAACATACGAGCCTTTACTGACTCTATAAAGCTGCTGCATCGGGTGTAACGATGACGCTCAAGGCTCGGTGGGAACAAACATGCCAGTTCCTCAATTTATTTATGAATCCAAGTCCTGTACGTTTCAGTAACGTTCCTATGTCTGACTTGTGTTTCGTCTTGCTGAAATTATGGTAGTCTTTTGATGTTCCCACTTCAAGGCCCGATCCAAGGTATAGACCACAGAAACCTCCTGTCTATCCAGGTTCGCACATGATCCAATCGCGTCTTCTCTCCCTTTCTAAATGGCTTATATGAGTGGATGCAGTTGGTCAACGTACAGAATCTCGCCCACCATCCAGCAGTTCTGTGAATACCAGTTATATGCGAGGAATTTCGCCGAGGCGTTCGCATGAAGGTTCCTCTCAAAGTGGGACGATTAGAAATTCTTGTTCCAGATCTCCTTCAAAGGTTCCCATTCCAGCTTGTATATTCTTTTCTCGTAACTTTCTATTGACAGACTTGGGGGGGGTAAACAGCTGTCTATAATGCACTCGCGAGAAAGTTTGGGCATGGACTGTGCTTTTGTGGTCAGTCATTTTCCCCGTGTTCAATCTCACCGCATTCGTATTCATCCAGTACAGAAACCTTCTGCTTCTGCTAACAAGGTGCGAAGTTCTGTGTTCCACCGTCAAGGTTTGAACTTCAATGGCATTCGCGTCAGGTGTTTAGCTCTTCCGGGGGAAAAATTACATCCTCGGCGGAGATTAGTTCACATGAGAAAGTATGTACCCTGAGAGCCCATCTCCTACCAAGATCCGTTTATCAATTTATTATAATGATTTAGGAGAATGTAGTGAGCATGTCCTTGTCTTTGCGCGTGTGGTCTGAAGTAAAATATTGCATTATAGATGTATGCGTCTTCTCGAAATTACAAGGATGACCGGACGGATCGCTTGAGAAGGACGAGAGGGCGTATTATGATGATGCGCAAGGTTCGTTGGCAGTGAAAAGAGATAAGCCGTGACTAATGCAAATTATCGTGGATCTTAGCCTTCTCTCAGCAAACTATCTGCCCCAAATAATTATGACAAAAAGGAACAAACCCACGGTTATTCGCCTGCTCAGTGGAGCTTGTCCCGACTCTGCTCAGGTGGTTTCGACAAATGTTTTGGACCCTCTGATTTTGTAAGTAAATCTCATTTTTTGCTATAGCAGTAGTCTATTAATAGGTCATTGAAAGGATGATCAACTGTCTTTCCATACGACCGAACTTTCTCCAATTCTGGAGAGTTCGGAAAACTTCGGCAAGCTGTCTATTCACTCAAGGACTAGTTCATATGATAGTCTCGACACCAGTGACGATGAATGTCCTACATGGTCGCACCGTTTTGAAGCAGTATTCGATAGGGTACACACGGTATGCACTTTCCCCCTATTTCTGTGATGACTGATATAACGTCATGTACAGGCTAACAATAGCCTGGTTTTCAAGAAGTAGGTTTATCTCACATTTAGTTGTCTTTAGTTTGATTTGTCTGCTTTCCAAAACTGAATATGTGTAGACAAGCCGAAGGTGATAACAGTACTCACGTATCCGAAGTTTTAACCACGGAGCGGCCATCTCTCATGCTCACGCTTCCTACCCCAGAATTACCAAGTACACCTGCCTGGACGCCTTCCCCACTTCCCCTCACCGTCTCGCAGTATGTTGTCGCAGTCGATGCAGGTGGCTATGACGCTCCTGCCCCGCCTTTCCCTCCATGTTATGGTGATAACTTCGGCTATACTCCCAAGTGCTCGGCATGCGAAAAGCAGTGGCTAGCTTGCACTCTCTGGTTTCACGCGAGGCAAAAGAGAACAGCGTCGTCACACTTGGAACGACCTTATCTTCGAGGAGAAGTGTCGACTGCTACGAATCGTGCGATTATGGGTTCTCTCGGGCTACCTATTGGAAGCGCCAAAGCCTTGGCTAAAATTGACGCAACTGTTCCAGAAACCGCTTATGGGGCGACAAGGCCACACTCGGCGTTTGCGAGAAGGCATGTTATCGATCGGTTTCGTAGATTGGATTTGAAACTGCAATATGAAAAAGGGCAACACGCGTTTTGGAAGATTTGTCGAATGGTCAAGATGTTTGTTGCTGGTTTTACTTCCAAGGTTCGCAAACTGGGATAAGTCAAGACCATCGACTGCGTTTGAGAAGGTGCGATGACTTATGGCGCGCCCAAATTTCCATGCCTCCCTACCAAAGAACGTAATTCACCGGAACTGTGGATCTCGTCGATTGAGAAGACACACGATATGAATTTTGCTGTCCGACTCTGCCAACGCCTTGAGCGCTACCAATGGTATATACCTTGCCCCCTACATAACGATCTTATTCGAAAAGCTTTCTATGCCACCCATCCGACCCATCCGACCCCATGCAAAGTGTTTGTGAATGATGTTTTCCTTTGTCTGTGATCATGAAAAAACTAGGTAAAATTATTGTAGTTCGGTTAACTGTATGCGGTACGTATACTTGTAATATTCGTAATTGCCTGGCCAAAATATCTATGGATTCGATTCCGATGGGCTTCCGAGGCTGAGAAATAATTATTACAATTGGGTCCCGCAGTTTCGGTACGGAAGGCGCTTGGTGTGCGATAGATCGCCTAGCAGCCTAGCAGCTGAGCACGGTTCGGCTTGAAGCGTGAAGGACTGACATATGTCGAAAATGCATAACATAGCACAGCAAGGCTTGCAATTGTAATTGGAGAGAGCTGCTGTCTCATCTTTTTGTATGTATGTTTATGTTTTGGTGTGAATTGTGTGTAAAATGAGGGGGCGCTCTGATGACGATATGGATTGAATATGAGTGGCTAAGCGGAAGAGGAAATATGATGAAATGATGAAATGGTACGTGAACCAAAGAATGGTACCAACGTTTCGTCCCCTCGCCCATTGCTCTGGGTTCATCAGTCCTTTCGTCCTATTTCCTCTATGTTTAGCTTGAACCCGGACTACCACCACGTCCCCAATGTCCCTTTTCTCTCCACAAATACATGAGCAAAAGGCCGATTCTGTTCGCAAACATTGGACAGAAAGGCTCCACGACGCCGCTTGGACTGTGTTTCACCATGCCAAAACCCATACTGGTGTTGGAACTGTGTGTGCGGTAGCATATTTCGATCCGTGAGTTGTATCCTATCATATCTTGGTATGGTCACGGCTCATCAGAACTGTACTAAGAGGAAACTGGGGAGTCGATCTACAGGCTGGCTCTCAGTATGGCTACAAGTTGCTATTCATTGTTCTGATTTCTGGTCTCTTTGCAGCTTTTCTGCAGGTATGTTCCTCTGTTATAACTGTCCATGGTTCACAGCAACGTCTTACATCCATGTGTTATCGTTCGACTTAGGTGCTAGCCAGTAGGCTTGGTTGCGTTACTGGACTAGGTAACGATTCCCCCAGAATGAGATGACTTCTGGCCATTGATATATTTTGGATATTTAGATCTTGCAAGTCATTGTCGCCTTCTTCTGCACAGTCGTCCACGTCACACGCGCTTATGGCGCTGGTTTGCGCTTTACTCCCTATATGCATTGTCAGAGATCGCCATCATCAGTACCGACCTGGCAGAGCTACTTGGTTCAGCCATTGCACTATGTCTGCTCTTTCCCGCACTACCGCTCTGGGCTGGTGTTTTATTGACAGCATCCGATGTTCTCGTCCTCCTTTCTTTGGGTAACCCCCTTCGTGGTAGACCAGTAAGATTGTTCGAGTTAATAATCGCTGCCTTAGTGAGGGAAAAGTTGACAACTTACGCATATAGAGAGCTAAATAGTTTGTACCAGGTTCTTGCTGTCCTCATCTGTATGGCTGTCATTATAGCCAAAATCCAGGTGAATTGGGGAGCAGCCTTTGATGGTTTCGTCCCTTCCAAGGAAATATTTGCTAGCGGCGGCCTTTACACCTGTAAGCTCTATTACCAGGCCATTTATTCATGGTATTTGCAGTATGCTGAGATTTGTGTCACAGCTGTCGGTATCTTAGGGGCAACAGTCATGCCACATAGCCTCTTCCTTGGTTCCCATCTCGCAACTCAAGATCGGATATCTTCCACCCCTTTGAAAAGCTTTCCTTCTATGGCTTCAAGTAGTTATGCTTATCAGGAAGGTACCGACACTTCACATGCAAGACATTCGCTGTTCGGTCGCTTGATCCAATCGACAAGGAGCTACATTATAGGGCTTTTTTACATTTCCCATTCTGATACTATCGCCACGCATAAGACTCACGCCGATAGAGATAACAACGAATTGGCATTTGTTAGAGCGCACTTATACCACGGTATTGTGGACGTTGTATCCAGTCTTCTGGGATTTGCGGTTATCATCAACTCTTTGTAGGCCCTCAAATTTCAGGCTCCATTGCATCCTATGCTAATTGCAGGCGTTTCGCTAGAATTCTTGTTCTTGCTAGTGCCGTTTTCTACTATCAATCTGGAGAGTATGGTTCAGAATCTCCAGCAAGCTTGTTTGATGCACATACTTTGATCAAGAACACTATTGGAAAACGTGAGTAATTGTACGCTTTAATTTATGTCGTAGTAAATCAATGTTGTTATCCACGCAGCCGCTGCATTGCTATTCGCCTTAGCCTTATTGGCAGCAGGTCAGAGCGCTTCTATCGTCGCAACTGTGGCGGGACAGAGCGTTTCAGAAGGGTTTCTCCGCTGGAAAGTCTCAGTAAGTCCAGTATGCATCGTGTTACAATCAGCTCATAAGTTCAATCCTTCCTTATTCTCGCTCGCACAACAGCCAGTCATTCGACGGCTTCTCACTCGTTTACTTGGACTCATCCCCTCAATAATCGTCGCTGTCGCTGTGGGTCCCACAGGCATCAACACCCTCCTTGTCGCATCTCAGGTCGTCCTCTCCATCGTCCTTCCGTTCGTCACGTTCCCACTTATCTATCTCACTTCGTCAAAGCGATACATGAGCGTTCGCAAACCGACCCCTGAATCGAACGTCACATCTTCGCCACTTGACGTAGTCAGTGGTATTGTTACAAGAGATCAGGAAGCCATAGATCGTGGCTCAGCTGCTGTGGAGATTGATACAGAGCCTGGGAGAGCAACTGGTGAAGGCGAATTTGTCGATTTTAGTAGTGGGAAGATAATGATTGGTTTAGGGTATGGGATATGGTTAATAATTGTGGTAGCTAATGTTTATGTGATAGTTACGTTGGGTATGGGTCAAGGAGGATAGATAAGGTGTCGAAATCCACATTGACATTTTAGGATAGAGCATTCAATGACAGTTCCTCATTCATTTACTTTCATAATGAAGATTATACAGAGTATCTAGTCTTGATGCTTATGAATGAGTGTAATCTCATGAAAATGTATGCTCTGAAGTTGTAAGATTGATGTGTTGTTATCAGGTATCACTCTACTGACTACTAATGAGAAAATGCTGAAAAAGTATATGCTGCAAGATAAATCCAAAGTACACATGAGTAGATCGAATATGCTGCATGCAGACGATCACATGCGAGGGGAACAGCTAAAATAGTTTCTCCAAAGGGTCGATAACCTTCCCCATCTGTGTGAATCGTCGTTAGTCAGTGAACTAGATACAGAATTTTAACCCAGTAGCCCACCTTTTTGACAACGCGAGGCAAAGTTCCTCTCTGGAAGCTTACTCTCGTGTTCCACTCCGCGCCAAGAGGGACCGCCATGCTGCGTTCGAATTGGGCATGGCTCGTGTACGGATGTGGTAATTCCTTCACGAGATATTTGGCAGCTTTCTTGTCACGCCTCTCAGAGATTATGACATGTGCCTTTTTGTAGTCTGCTCGAGAAGCAGGATCTATACCGGCGATTTTCTTGACAAGGTGAGGTTTGGGAGGTGCTTTTGAGGTGCCACTGCCACCCCATGATCCCTAGATGAACATTTGGTTAGTCAATAGTCGTGCAAGTTAATGAAATTGAAGGTCATCGTACCCAACCGGGGAGTGTAGTGTCGATTTCACGAGGAGCATCTGCTTCCATCTCACGACGCTTTGCCTCTTCAAATTCCTGTGAACAATAATAGATATTAGCGCTGAGAGCTTTGCAGGTGCTTTAAATCCTACCTGGACAACGTTATCACCCGCAAAGGCGAGAGCGACTAGATCTCGCTGCTCGAAGGCTTTCACGCTCTTTCCTTTCTTGTCGCCCTTCTGCTCGAGCGCCCGCTCTTGTTCTTCCACCTCACTGTGAACGTCCGAATCATCATCGTTATGTTCGATGGGATTTGAACTTTTAACCGGTTCCTTTTTAGCCTTGCTTTTGCCTTTCTTTTTACTTGCAACATGGGACACCTCGCTAGGTTTTGACCCACTTGCGACAGTATCTTCTGGGAGCTTGAGCACATCGCCCAGATTAATCTCGAGCGTTGCATCTTCTCGAACGCGGTCCTTCTCCTCCCCACTTTTTTGCACTTGTTTCTTCAACTTGTTAGCGGCCTTCGAAAGAGTTGTACTGTCCTTCTGTACTAGAGTCTCGTTCTTCTTTCGCGGGGCATGTGCAGTGCTGCTATGTGCCAGCCACGGGTTGGACTCGGGCACTGATGCTGAGGGAGGTGGGAGAGATACCTGCGCTCTGGAAGTTTCGGTTGACAAAGAATGCTGAGGGGATGGAGGCTCCTGTAGCAAATCTGCAGACCGGAGAGTCACGCTAGATATGTCGGACGCTAGTGATCCCGTAGGGCGCAGATTGATCGCGGTATTGAGGCCTCCAGGACGGAACACCATTCTTCCTCCGGTGCGCTGCACTACTGATCCATCAATGTTACCGCCTTCCTCTGAAACATCGACATCTATTTCATCGTTGCTCTCGTCATCACCTCTCTGGCGACTTACACCCATCTCCCTTGCGAAGTCGTCGACCATGGCATCAGTCTCGCGCTCCCGACGGGCTGCTGCGTCGCGCATGAATTTCATATCGAATACGCTCTTGCTCTTCCCTTGATCCGTGGGCTCGGGCGTTGTGCCATCCGCCAGGTTTGCGAGTTCCTCGAAAGCATCCCTCTTCAGGTCATCTACGCCCTTCTCGGTATCGTCATCAGAATTGTCGTCATCATCTCCAGAGCCATCCTGACTTCCTCTCTCACCCCTAATCTTCCTTCTCAACCGTTCACCGCGCTCCAACATTTCTCCTATTTCCCTTCGTTGATCGATGTCCAGCCCTTCTCGACCCTTCATCGCCTTCGCCCATTTTCCTGTGTTATTATGTCTCAGCGTAGCACGTTCCCGTGCCCTCTCCACTTCTCGTTTGAGCGTCGCATCCTCATCGTCCTCTTCCTCAGCAGCCTCCCGCTCCTCACCATCCAACTTCTCGCGCTGTTTTTTCCTAATACGCCTGTACGTTTTGCTCTTGATCTTGGCAACTCGTTTCGCTTTAACCTCTGCACGAAATGCGAGCTCTCGCATGGAACGTAGCTCCGCTCGCCGTGCAGCAACCTCCTCGACGCTCAAGTGTGCCATCTGTAGGTCTTCGGTTTTCGCAATATCCTCTTCTCGCATCTGTGCAGCCTTGAGCAGTTTGTCAACTGCACTCTCGAGCTCAGTGGTAGGCTGGGGTGAAGTTAGTGACATGAAATAGTTAGATAAGATTGCAAATTATTACCTTGAATTTGGCTGCAAGCTCCAAGTTTGATGGTCGTACCATTGGTTGGGCTTGCAAGGGGAAACTGAGATGTTCAGCCTGATGATGTTTCCGTTAGTATGAAATATGTAGTAGTTATTACGAGGACCTTACCTCTTTGATCCTCTTCATTGTCGCACTCCACTTGTCTACCTCCGCCTTGGTCTGCTCGTACGCAGCCTCACGATCTAACCGTTCTTGCGTTCGCTGAGGAAGGGGAGCAGAAAGTGTCTTGATTGCCTTAGTAGACGTCGAAGCCAGAGGTTTTGTTGCTTTTTTGAGGGAGGCTAGTGCAGAAGATGAGGAGGCGAGAGGGGCGAGAAGGTCATCCAAATTCAGTTTCTGAGAGCCTACATATACGAATGGGTAGTATCAGTATCTCTTCAACATAATACGGTGATCCATTCGTTTTTCAGTGAACGAGTCTTACCTCCTGTTTGCGCTCCAAACTCTCCCTCAGGACCTGCTTCAGTTCGCTCCTTCAACATCCGACGTTTTCGTTCCCGTACCTGTTCGGTAGTAGTTTCTCCTGTTTCGCCATCTATGGGTGCTTTTCTCTTTTTGTTGTCGCTTGGGTCGAGACTTTGGATGTATTTTCCGAGCTCGGCGAGAGCTTCAGGGGAAGGATCGTCCAGATCTGATGGTTCATCTACTTCGTTTTCATCTACTGTTTCATCGTCTTCATCCTCATCCATTTCTTCGTCCTCACCCATTTCCTCGTCATCATCTTCCTCGCTCTCTCGCTTCTTCTTGCTCGGAATGCGTTGTTTCTCTTTCTTGGTGCTGCTTTTCTTAGTGTTTCCCTTCTCAGCCGAGTCATCCTCATCAGCTTTCCCATCGAATACATCGAGCACGTCAAAGAATTCGTCCCCCTCTTCTCCCTCCATTTCATCGTCTTCGTCACCATCATCATCATCAGGCTCAGACTCTGATTGGGACACATCATCCTCTTCGTTTAGATCCACTTCAGGCAAACTTTTCTGAGCCTTTTTAGCTTTTTTCTTCGTAGAAGTAGCTTTTTTGTTCCCCTGTTTCAAAATCAGTATACAACTTAGTAAAAGAACCCCATGAGAACGTACCTTCCGTGAAAAATCAAAGCCTGAGAACTTCTCCTCGTCACTTTCCTCAAATGCAGCATCACTGTCGACATCTTCGTCGTCCTCGCTATCAATCTCCTCGTCCCCATTCTCACCGATCAGCCTTGCCTTCAACTCCTCCCGTCCATACCCATCTTCGCTATCCCCATCTCCACCTCTTGCTGGACCATGATCTGCAGCCTCCTCACGATCAAGGTCAAGTGTTACTTTCGAACGCCGTACTTTGGATGGGGCATATTCGTAGACGTCAGAGAGAGCTATGGCCTTGGCCTTTTGAGATCTACGTTTTGCATAGCCTGCAGCGTTGGCTTTGTGATTAGATGGTCTCGGTTTTGATATGTTCTGCCGTGTGTTTTTGTTGGTTTTAGCCATTTTTTATTGCATGCAGCAAGAGTTATGGCCTCGAGGAAACCACCTGTCTCTGTCAGCTTGAGAGATCAGAGAAAATGTGTGCGGAATTTGCCGGCCTATTTGCTAAGTACCATATTAGGAAGGTTGTATTGACCTTGGTGATAGCCCCAGTTAGCGCCAAGGTCAATGAGCTGCATCTTGTAATCTCACTCAAATTCACATACACACTTCCCATGAAATATATACGTATCCAGCTCCTGGAAAACATTAAAAGACAAAGACAGTATACGTAGACAGTGTGCATAATGATGTCAACCAATATAAGTTAGCAGTACAACTTCACTGAATCACAGCCGGATCACTCCTTGGGAATCCATCCCTTCTGGCTGCGGGCTTTGCTCAGGATGAGTGCCCCAAACATGCGCATCGTGTACATTATGTAGCTCTCTACCCTCGTCCTCATCCTCCTGGGAGCCAATCATGACCTCCTCTTCTTCCCTTGTGCCTGTTGCCCTTGTAAACCCTCTGCCTGCACCGCTGACGTCGTCACCTCCGTTCCAGTGGTGAGAGAAAGAGTTGGGACCGCTGGGACGTGAACTGCGCAGTCGATCGATCGATTCTTGAATGAAATCGCCGCAAATGGATAGCAGCTCAGAGAACTGTGAGAAGGAGAACTTTGGGACTTGCTCGAACCCTCGGCGGCGTAGGACGAAACGGTTATAGAGCGTGCTGCCGACGATGAAAATCATGAGGGCGATGAGTGAGCTATCAATACAACATTAGCAAATCAAAGAAATCTTAAGGAATCAAAGACTAGACATACGTTATTATGACGAATATGAGTATCCCTGAGATGATACCCCTCTCTCCAACGGGGCATGCGTACTGCAATAAAACAGTTACGAGAGAGACTGATAAACAAAAAATACACTTACATGAGTTTTCCATTCAAACTCAAAGTGGCATGCGTTCTCGTCATCACTGGGAAATTGATCCAACAAAGCAGGTTTACCTGAAAGTTGACTGAGAACGACGAGAAACTGACAGCGTGATAGTTATCATTACCTGCAGCATAGACTGAGTTATCGCATATGAAGCGAATGAAGGTCGATGCCAGCATGTCAGAGTTGGGGCATCGTGAGCCTTCGGATAAGCGCATCATCAAGCCACCCTCCTTCATTTCTAGTGTGGTATTTACCACCCTGTGCAAGGGATATATACGGTGGAATAAAGTGTAATCACGGTACGCACCCTACTGATAGATCACCGTGGTCTCTGCGTATGAATCCAGCAACATCTCCGGGATTCGGAACGTCGATATTCCAGGTATCAGTTGTAACGCTTTTACAGACGTTCATGTAAAATTGGTGCCCGCCTTCCGTTGTGAATTCATAGTCTTTACTGAACCGCGAGAGTATGTCAGCGCCGAAGAATACGAACAGCTCATTGCAGGATAGCATGGGTCTGACGAGTGGCGCCCCATGCAAGAACTTACCTGGCTTTCAGAGGGTTTAGGTCGTAATAGTTGCCCCCGTCGTGAACTGTGCATGGTGCCTCATCTGCGAGACTCAGCCAGGGAAAGGCCAGGAAGACGCAAACAGCTGCAGTGGCAAATAACATTCCTATAGGCTTGCTTGACAGTACGAAAGGCCTACAGCAAACGAAAGCTCCAGAAATGTGTTAGCTTGGGTTGTGTGTTCTGCATATGTAGCACCGCAGCCAAAGTTACCAACAGTAGTGGAGCGTGAGAATCCTGCATTACCGACTTGCGCCGCGTTCGGTGACCGCCTTTCCACCTCTGAATTTCCACTGCCTTCGACGACGGCGACGGCCAGCATAACTATGGCTTCATCCCTTCTGCGACGGCAGCTCTCGCTGTCGAACTCAATAGGCCGCAAATCTGCATTACGCCATCTTTCTACGAGTCCTGCTTTATCTCAGCAGCAGAGTGCAGCTCAAAGTGGTGCTGTCACAACTGGCGCAAAAAATGTATTCGAAAGACACACCGTCGAGGATTTGCACGGCATGAGTGCGGCAGATGTTCTGGCTGAGACGGGGACGAGGGCTGATGCAAAGATGAGACACTTCACGGGTGGGTCTACCGCGTGTTCTCGTTTGATAAATGTAGCTAAATTTCTACCATGTTACAGTCAATTTTGGGTGAGTATTGATCAAGAATTCACTTTCGAGCATGATTTTTACACCCCTTAGTCCTCAACATCCCGCCGCTCACGGTGTCCTCCGAATGATCCTCGAACTGAACGGAGAGGAGATTTTACGTGCAGACCCGGTACGTACCGCTTGCTCGTCTCGTCTAGTTGCAGGAACCTACTTAGTCTCCTATTACTATGAAGCACATCGGTCTTCTTCACCGTGGTACCGAAAAATTGATCGAGTACAAAACCTACACGCAAGCCCTACCATACTTCGATCGACTGGATTATGTTTCAATGAGTAGGAGCTATATTTCTATCTCACAGTAGTCTTTTGTGTATTGACGATTGTTCTCGTAGTGACAAATGAGCTCTGCTTCACGCTTGCAGTTGAGAAATTGCTTAATATCGAGGCTCCTGAACGCGCCAAATGGATCCGAACTTTGTTCGGTGAAATCACCCGTGTCCTCAGTCGTGAGTACCTCTTTTCCACTCATTTTTCGTTTTCCCCTTCTTCTGATGTACGCCCTCATAGACTTGATGGCGGTCCTTTCGCACGCTATGGATGTCGGAGCATTGACGCCTTTCCTCTGGGGATTCGAGGAGCGTGAAAAATTAATGGAATTCTACGAGCGCGTGTCTGGCGCACGGCTGCACTCTGCTTATGTTCGCCCAGGTGGTGTTGCTTTTGATCTTCCTCACGGCTTACTCGAGGATATTTTCAAATGGGCTACTCAATTCAGCTCGCGTGTTGACGAAATCGAAGAAGTTGTGACAGGTAACAGAATCTGGAAACAACGGACGGTTGGTATTGGCAAAGTTACTGCAAAACAGGCATTAGATTACAGTTTCACCGGTGTCATGCTACGGGGGAGTGGAATTCCGTGGGATCTAAGAAAAACGCAGCCATATGATAAGTACGATGAGGTATGTTCTTCATCAGTGATAAAAGGGGGCTCAAATGTTCATGGATTTGCACCAGGTGGAATTTGATGTACCTGTTGGGAAGAATGGTGACTGCTACGATCGCTACTTGTGTCGAGTCCAGGAATTCCGAGAGAGCCTACGGATTATTCATCAAGTTTGTGGTTTATTAAACTGCGCGCTCATCATATGCTGACGTCCCACTTGCGTGATGACAGTGCCTGAACAAGATGCCACTTGGAGCAGTGAAGATCGACGATAACAAAATCGTACCTCCACCACGTGCATCCATGAAGGAAAGCATGGAGTCGCTTATCCATCACTTCAAAGTATGCCTTCTCTTTCATTCATGTTTTACCACCACTAATCAGGATGTGATAGCTCTTCAGCGAGGGCTATTCAGTGCCACCTGGAGAGACCTACAGTGCTATCGAGGCTCCTAAGGGAGAGATGGCTGTTTACCTTGTCTCGTGCGTACCACCTAGTATCGAGTCGTGAATCAAACCGTGCTCTAATACCCGATATTCTTTATCAGGGATGGCACCAACCGCCCTTATAGATGTAGTATCCGAGCGCCTGGCTTTGCTCACCTTGCTGGTGCTGACTTTATGATGAGACGTACGTGATTTGCTTGCTATCAGTTAGGACTGTTACTAATATTGTCGCAATGATTGTTATCTCCAGATGTAAGATATTTCCCCACATGCTATATTCATGCTTGGAGACTAACCATTGTTTTGTAGCACATGCTCGCCGACGCTGTCGCTGTCATCGGTACTATGGTGTGTATATGATCTTGCTGTTTCCGCATGCGCTGCTAATGAACTCTTATCTGTAGGATCTTGTGTTTGGGTATGTGTGCTTTTCATCTCTCATCTTTGAACTTACAAGTTGTTAACGATGTTATACTATTCAGCGAAGTAGATCGGTAGATAGAAATAAATATATATTTCCGCACGACTGTAATACAGTATCGGTTCCATTTACCGTTGTCCGTTAAGATGAGCGACATGGAAGCAGTCCATAACATAGCCCAGACTGAGGCTCAGCTTAGGTTCAGTCTGCCTTTTAGTCTTTGTCGGCAACCTCCGGTGAGCCACTTGGCAAGAGTCTCCACAGCAGTTTCATCACTGAGCACATCTCGAGGCAACTCAGCAGATAGATTATGCGCTTCCAGACTTTATTATTCTTCGCACTGCCCTTCTTGGTCTCTGCCTCGACGAATGAACAAGTGATTATGCCCGCTATGCCTGAAAAACCCGGCACCTTCCAACCGCTCACCAACTCTCAGCCCACGCTTGCCGATCTTTTGACCATCGAGACCTCAGCATCCATATTTTATTCTTATGCACGAGAACTCGAGCTATCCGTGAGGTTCAACAGCGATGATATGAGCACACTTTTGGTGCCCACCAACAAGGCTGTTATGGCTTTAGCGAGAAAACCGTGCGTTACAACTTCATTCTTGCACTGGGCAGAGAACTGAATCTGACGGGAACCGTTTGACTCTAGTCATCAAGACCCTGATCCAGTTGAGCCAAAAATTGAAATTTCGGAGCAAGAGTCTGACCAACTGTCGAAGAGAAACGTTGAGCGATGGGTCTCTGCGCATATCATCCCAGTCCGTCTCCTTTCGTTTTGTGTGCATCTTGGTAGCGATTCTAATACTCTTGTTTCTGGTTCTCAGAAATCACCTATTTCATTCTCGAGCGAAGCCAAAGCATATGAGACTCTTTTAGAGGGAAAGTCGGTCACATTCAAGGCTATGTCTGATGAATCTGGAGAGCCGGAATGGACGCAGGTCGACCTCGAAGACGGAACACGAATCATTGGTATGAGGAAGGTTAGTGCTTGTGATTCTCGACCTCAACAGTGTGCTAAGCCCTATCTATATCAGGCTAAGAACGGTGTGATGTACATCATCGACAGTACTGTGAAATTTTGACAGTGTGGGCCAGCGTAGCTTTTTCTTTGCGTGTATGAGTTAGTGTATCGTGTGTTTTAATTGTGTACTAATAGTAGACGAAATAACGTTGTTTTCTCGCATATGAAACACTACTACTTGCAATGGTGATCTCTACCTCTACGTGCGAAGTTACTGAATCCTGCTAGCTTTGAAATGCAAAGGGGCCCACTGAATTCCAGGTCCTCAGCTTCATAGACTCTCCCTGGCTCACCCGGGGAGCTATAAGCAGTGATGTCTATTCAAAGGGTCCTCCTCGCGATAACATGTCAGATGGTCACCAGTCATCTTTGCTAGTAGTGGCTGGCATTTCCTTTGTATGGGTCACCAGTTTGTGTTCGTGGCGCTACAGCTGGATGACCGACAGTAGGTCTCTTATAATATTATGCAATTCGTCTAATAATGCCTCAATGTGGTGATGTTTTCCAATGTGTTTAAGACTACGACTGGTTGTACTGTAACCACCAAACTGGTCAACCGGCGCTAAAGCAGCGTAAACGTAAACCAGTTTGAGGGATAACAAGGAGCATTTGTATTTCTGGGATTCCACCATTTCACTTGAGGGGCTCAATCGGATGACACTCCCCTGCAGAAATTAGGAAGAAGGGAAATTTATTATCAATACACTACCATTTTTGGTTCCAATTGCCATACAGTTATTGAATGATGAGTAGGTATTTGGCGACGACGAAGGAAGCATGGATATAGGTTTTTGACGCAGGGTATCGATGATCCAGTTTCCTTCAAGAGATAAAGGATTGGGGTTTCGAAACAGGATATGCCTTACACTCTCTGGCAAGAGTATACCAGAAATAGAATCCCAGGAACGAGCGATAGGTTCACGGCCATAAGAAAATGCAACTATAGCCGACCCATCAGTTGAGAAAGACACCGAGCGGACCTCTCGATCAAGACCTTCGAGGGGGCCCAGTACCTCTGTCCCAGAAGCGACATCCCATACCCGGATGGTCTTGTCCAAGGATCCAGAGGCGAGTCGCGTGCCGTCAGGGGAGAATGCGAGAGATGTGACGATAGACTTGTGTATTCTAGCTGGCCCGACACCCTCGACTGATTCTGCGTCCCAGATACGGATTGTGCAGTCTCCTGAGCCAGATACGACTCGTGTGCCATCCCGAGAGAAAGCGGCGCAGCGAACTCCTTGCCTATGCCGTCGAGTTAAATGAGTCAATTGATTGCCTGAAGATGCATCCCACACCCGAACAGAGGAGTCCTTTGAGGCGGAAACTATTTGCGACCCGTCAGGTGAGAATGATGCAGAATAAACAGTGCTCTTGTGTCCCCTGAAAGGTTCAAGCAGTGGGGCACCTGAGTGTGCGTCCCACAAAAGCAGAGTTTTATCATCAGAACTGGATAGGATTCGAGCACCGTCAGGGGAGTAAGCGACCGAATAGATCGCTCTACTGTGTTGTTGCAGTCGAAATAATTCTGTGCCAGTCGTAGCATCCCCAATACAGATTGTAGCATCATTAGATCCCGAAATAAATCGGGATCCGTCAGGTGAGAAAGCCAGACAACGAACACCCTTCTTGTGCCAAGTTAATGGTCCATAAATCATAGTGCCTAGACGCGTATCCCAAGCAACTATCGTTGAATCTTTCGAACCAGACAATAACATAGTTCCCTCTGGATTAAATACCACAGACCAAACGGGAAGTCGGTGTCCTCGTAGCGGTTCGAACACCTCAACACCAGATAAAGCATTCCACAGGCGGACAGTGTTGTCCTCAGAACAGGATGCAATCTGTAATCCACTTGGCGAGAACACAGCCATGTTAACCTGGGCTTCATGTCCTTTAAGAGGTGAGACTACATCTTCGCCAGTCGTAGCATCCCATACGTTGATGATATTCGCTGCAGTAAACAAGAAGTGCTTTCCGTCAGGGGAAAAAGTGAGCGAGGTTATTTCGCCCTGTTGATTTGGGAACTCCATCAAAACTGAAGGCCATCCTTGCCTAAAGCCACCTGCAACTCGCGGGAAGGTGTGGGTCTCGTGAAATTGCTGGAACAGTGCCGTCATTATAGGGGTAAATGGGAGTGCACTTGCGTAAACTAGCAGAGGATGGTGTTCGATGACCATGATGAAAGCCTGAGAAAACCGAACCGCGTCTGATACAAGGTCAAAAAGGTTGAGATGATCTACAAGATTAACCTGGATACATAAACATGTCACATTATTAGGGCATGAAAGATGGATGATGAATTTGACCTACTTTGATCCATCCACGAAGACAAGTTAGTAAACCGATGGTGTGCCTTGAACGTTTTAGCAAGCACATCGCCTCCATCCAATGTAAGAAATGGCTACGTAAGAAAGATTCAATGTCTTCGGCAACCGAGCTCGCCGATCCATCACTCTCGCAAACGTGATCAATCCAGTAAGTGCATGCGTAGTCAACATCAGCAGGAAGAGTCTCGTTGACTTCGTCCATTGAAAGCGTCAAGTTACAAAGATTTTTTTTGAGCACGGTCCGAAGATGCCCAAGACATTGAATAGCTATCCGTTTATGTTGCGAATGACGGTCAATGAACCATGCATGATGACCAGAGCGGGCAGGGTTAGTGAGATAATCGGCGAAAGAGGGATGCATAATGCGGATGACTTCACTCTGGCCCCAAAGAAGGACACAGCCTAGACGTTGGATAGTATGGAGAGCTGGACGTCTTTTTTTCGATGAAGTAAAATCGGCATTTAGGGCATCAACAGTGGCCGCTACCAGAGGATTTTTCGCAACAATGATCATGCCGATGACATCACGGAAATCAGATGCGAACACAGGATCATCCCATTTGCCTGTAGCATTCAACGCTGTTTCATATATGTGATCAAGAGCAGACTCCGCATCAGAGTATAGTTTTTCTTCAGTCAACAGCGTTACGCGCTCATCTGGATCCTGTCCATCCTCAATGAAACGACATGCAGTAGAAGCCCATATGAAAAGACCAGATGCACGAGCAGCGAGGGCGAGAATATTGTTCTCACCGGGCCAGTCCAGAGGGAGTGATAAATATTTGTTTTGTGACTGAATTTCCACCATTCGACGCCTGAGATATATCAGAACATCTTCGCTATTGGACCGAGAACTGATATCAAGGCGCCGTCCGACGATATGTGGTTGGTTTCCAAGGGCCTCTGTAATATCCATTTCATCTCGACTGGTGATCAAAATGCGGACAGTATTTGGCAGTTTGTGGAGCTCCAGTGCAAATGTCTTCAAAAGTTCGCTCCGTGTCCCGGGGTGCCCACATTCGTCTAACGCATCGATGATGATGATAATTGGACCCTCCCGTTTCGATGTCTCTAAGGAGGACAATGGTTCCATGAGCAACTTTAGAAATTGCCATCTGATAGGGGACTGCTTGATGCTAGGTGTGCTTTCTATCACTTTAGAAATTGCAGATCCAATGCGGGAGTCGAATTCGCCAAGCTGGTATGCGAGAGTGCGGATGACGATGGCTGGGTCACTTCTGCCTGTGATGTCGCGATTGAAAAAGGTGAACGCGCCGAGACGCCTTAATTCACGGAAGAAGTTTGCGACTGTGGTCGATATAGTGCTCTTTCCCGACCCTGCGAGGCCGTGCAGCCACAACACATTTTCCTTGGTCGTAGGACTGGTAGCCCATTCGGCGATGGATGTAAGGACGTCAATACGTGTGTCGGGTAAACAACTGGTCCGAGATGGGTCGTCCATGTCGGCTGGCAAGAGTTTTGACAGATTTTGCGCCCTTACTAATATCACAGTTAATCAGGAATTTCACAGGACAAAGCGAAGTGCAAACCGAGCTTTTCGACCGAGTCATAAATTCGAAAGGTAACTATGGCAGTTTGGACCACTACTCCAGAGTTGAAAGATTGCTTGAGGAGGTTGAAGTTTTGTGTGAAATCAGCAATCCTCACATCAGCCCATGGGCTGTGAAGAAGTCTAACTGTAGCCAAGTTTGTAGTCAACATTTATATATGAAATAGCTTCAACAAACCTACCACCAAACCCATTTCCGGCGTACTCCCGAATGAACATGACACATTCGATTGTCTGAGCAAGAATTTTGCGGATTGTATCGTCGAGAGGCGCTAGCTTCTCTGGGAAAGACTGTACCACATCGACAAAAGTATATACGTCTTGCATGATAGCAGCAAGGTCCTCGATCTTCTTATCTCTGTCAAGCTGCCCTTTGACAATCTGTATCTAAGATAAGAGTGCCACGTCCGAACCGAAAATATAGAACACGAACTTGATATACTGAAGACGTGATTTGCCATGCGATGCTTATGTATGGATTAATCTACATGAGGCAGAGAACGACTAAGTGACAGGAGATCACAAAATAATCAACCCACCTGTGAAGCACTATCTACGATCTTCATGAAAATATCCAATTTTGACATAATGACCGACAGCGACTGCACATAATCTACCCTGTCGAGAATATGCCCGACGGGACTGTTACCTTGTGAACTGTCCATCGCTGGATCACGTTCATCGGAGTGAATATGTAAACCATCGAGAGCAAGCTGTCCCGCGGAAACATTTTCGTTTTCTCGGAGACGTATCGTAATATGTCCACTCAGCGAAATATTTGATTTTTTCTTTGAGCTAACGAGATCTATTTTAATGTTCTCAGCTGTATTGAGAATTTATGCTCTAAGAATGAGTAGGATAAAACTAGTGCGCAAACACTCACTGTCTTCATCTCTTCGTTTTCCTAGTAAAGGTTCGAGTTCTATTTCCGCTGTTGAGAGTAGTTGCGATCCAAAAAAATAACGATCATGCCTCAGACTTAACTGAAGCACGGACGACATATCGCGTGCTGGTCTATCAGAGTAGATAAGATGATTTGATTTTTCTCTGATGGAGTAACTAGACCCACAACACAAACTGCTCGTTCCATGATGGGTCGAACTGTTTCTTGATGGTCCGTGTGCGGGCAGATGCAGATATCAAGTCATCGAAGTGGGCTCGTACATATAGGTTGGGTGGCTCCTTCCAGCCGGTCAGATGCAAATGTGCTTCGACGACTGTGTGCCATGTTGTTGATGTGCGATCAACGAAGAGTAGGATAGAAGATACAAGTGCATACTTTGCAGTTGAAAATACAACATTTTGATAATATCAACTTTGAATGAGTCGGATCTGCCTGTGATCGAGAAAAGCTACGGCTAGGGCTATCTGTCTATCACTGGCACAGCGGGGACGACTGCTGGTATCATGCTTTTTGTTGTTCTAATGAGCGGATACTATTCCAGGTTAGAGAAAACGGAGGTATAACCTACCGTAGTAACTGTAGTAGTTCATCCCATAAATCAAGCGCGCCACCAGGGCGTCTATAATGAACCAGCGTCTAACAGTTTCTGCACAAACGTGCACGACGGCAAAAGCCGAGTATAGCACCACCATCACAGTACCACCATCATTGATAACTGACTTGGACAGATAGGTCAAGGTCAAGGGACTGTCCATGGTTCAAGAGGCACTGGTGGCACGGAACCAATCGGTCACTAATCAAATATGAGGCCTATATAAGGGTCCGCAGTCACGGCGGTCTCCCACCTCCTGACAGACGATGTGACAAACGGACGCCCTCGAGCACTGGACTCGGGGAATGAAAGGCATCTGATATACGTATACAGAGCATATCAGCGATTAACGATTACCTATAGATTAGTACCCACCGTCAATCAACACAGGACCAAACCACATATTCGACTGGACAGGAGACCCATTGACAGATGCGGCATATGACTCGGTTGCTATGTCTGAAGAGGTGCGACTCGCTGAATGAAACAAAAGTACTGACTGTAACGTTTTCGATATTTCAGTGCCGGACCGTAACAGGCGTTCAAATATAGCATATTCTCTGAACCTTTGGCTCGCGAACATGGCTTAATGAATGGGTTTCACAGCATCCGAATCCGAGTTGATAGATCAAATCTATTTACCACTACGACTTGATTTCATGATGTAGGTGTCTCGAGGCGAGCCAGCCTGTGACTGGTCAAATTTTTTAATTGCCTCGATGCAAATTAATATCAAACAGTTTGCATGTCTGATACATGTTGTGACTCTAAGCCGACAGCGGAAGCGCAAAGAGGTATGCCAAGGCGGCGTCGTGGGTACTACTGTATGATATTGGATAGGGTCAATCCATTCATGGTGACTGCGTCCGTCTCGCCCGGGCCCGTGTAATTCTATTTTATCACCGACAGGTCCATCATATCATTCAAAACTAGATGCACATTTTGCAATTCCAGTGAAACCCACAGCATTTCTGATGCAGTCTCGAAAAGACTCCTATAGCCAACAACCCATCCTGTTTTATAGAGGTTTAAGTTGACATGGTCTCACTATTATTTTCCAACCCCAAGGCAAACAATGTTAGAGGAAATTTCCCCCCTGTCCTTCACGTTCGTGACTGTTATTTTTCTGTCTATCGCTATATCCAAATACCTGAGGAGGCCTGATGTATGTTGGCCTTTCTTGTTTAAATGGCATTTTCATTGACTCGGTGTAGGTCGACAGTATTCCAACAGTTGGCCCTGGTGGCCTGCTCACATCGTACTGGGGGGCTTTGAAGTTCATATTCTGTGCCCGCGAAATGTTGCAGGAAGGATACGCAAACGTAGGTTCAATTAATGCCTCGCTCGGCTAAGTAATTTTCATCTGATGCACCCATGTAGCATAAGGGCATGGCATTCAAGATTCCGGGCTTGTTCTGCTGGAATGTCTTCCTGAGCGGCCACAAGCTCGTTGAGGAGATGCGGAAAGCCCCAGAAGATCATATATCTGTTGTTGAAAGAACTAGCGATGTGCGTAGCATGTCTTCATTTGCATGTAAATGATAATGGATATCAGTGCTGATGTGTTACCTTTGTAGATTTTGAAACCCAAATATACCTTAGGCCCTGAGATAATTCACAACCCGTATCATACCCCAATCATCCTACATCAGCTTACTCGGAGCATTGCTGCTAAATTCCCGGACATGCTAGACGAAATCCAGACTTCCTTTGATGATAATATTCAGTTGAATGGCAACGGTAATTCCTTCAGTTTCTCTTTGACACCTATTTTAACCACCAAACGCTTCCTTTCCGCAGAATGGACAAGTGTGCCTGCCTTTGGCACCGTCGTAAAAGCTATGTGTCGAACGAGCAATAGAGTCTTAGTTGGCCTCCCATTATGTAAATGTGTTTACCTTTATGGTCTCATGCCCGTTTTCATCGGATTTTCATTAGGTCGCGATCCTGATTGGAACGACTTGGCCACTGGATTTGCCCTCAGTGTGATCAAGACGGCTATCATAATTGATCTATTTCCTAACTTCATGGCTCCGTACGTAACAGCATGCCACACCCAAATATTAACTCAATGTAATGGCTTTCAACGTGTAGTGTGGTAGGTACACTCCTTTCAAGCTTGCCTCGATCAATGCGGCGCGGAATGAAGCATCTACGACCTATAATAGAGGAACGTCAGAAGAATCTGGATGAATATGGGAGTGACTGGGACGAAAAACCGGTACGTTGTGTTTGACGCGATCACATGCGCATGCTCTTACGAGATATTACTAGAGTGACCTGTTGTCATGGCTTATGGACGAAGCACAAGGAGAAGAGCGTTCAGCAGAGAACCTCGTCAAGCGTATGCTAGCAATTAATTTCACCGCAATCCATGTACGTTGTTGTTGTTTGATTTGTTTGGCCGTTTCACTGATCATTTACTTCATATTACAGTCATCGTCCATGGTATGCCCCTTTCCCTGATTAATATTGTAGCGACAACTCAATTTCATCATAGATGTTTACACAAGCGTTATATCATTTAGCTGAAAACCCTCAATACGTTAAACCACTACGCGAAGAAGTGGAAACCATCGTAGAAGAAGAAGGCTGGTCAAAGGCTGCGTTGACAAAAATGCGAAAAGTGGACAGTTTCATGAAGGAAACGCTACGGTTTGACAACTTTGCTTTCTGTAAGTTCTCATCTGTGGAAGACTACACCATTTGTTTGACGAAGTTGACGGTTCTTACAGTATCTTTGCCCCGCAAGGCTTTGAAAGATTTCACATTTTCCAATGGAATTGTCGTACCAGCTGGTTGTACAGTGTCTGTTGCATCGATGCCTACACACTACGACAGCGAGATATATGAAAATGCTGACGTATTCAATCCGTTTCGATTTGCCAATGAGAAGCAAGAGGGAGAACAAGCTTGGCACCAGATGGTTTCCACTAATGCGGATTATCTACCTTTCGGACATGGTCGAGGTTCTTGGTATGTTCTTTTAAATGACACATTAACCCCTTTACATTATAATCTAATCCATGAACTTTTATGACTTTCAACAGTCCTGGACGCTTTTTCGCGGCAAGTGAGCTGAAGACGATGCTAGCTCACATCGTTGTAACATACGATATCAAGTTTGAAGACGGGGCTGTGCGGCCAACCAATATAACGTTCGGTCCGGCCAGTACGCCAAATATGAAAGCAAAGCTCTTGTTCAGGAAACGTGTGGTTGAGTAGGAATTTCATACTAGGATGGATAGATAGAGATATAGTTAGAGGTGTATTATTCTGTAACTTGTAAGAGGCGGGCCTCGGTCACGGTGTAAATATAACAGTAGCACCGCTTAAACCTATAAATTTGTAAGGCGTTACCGCCACAATTCATGTTGCATTTGCATCCTACTACTACCGTTGTCATTGCACCGTAAAATCACGCTGGCATCCCGTTCGAATTTCGGTCAAGCGTTGGATGCCCTATTTTGAAAACTCGAGCAACATCGATGCTAGCCATGGGGTTTTCAATGATATTGCAGGCAGTCAGTACAACCACACAACGAACATCACCAACATCTATTCTGCAGGAGTTAAGTCTGAAAATGAGAGGATACTATCAAGGCTGAAGCCAGCCAATCGTTATCTTCGTTATGTGCAGCCATGCATGGAAGGCACTCGAGAAGACATTTTCAAAGAAATACACCATTGGCTTGACAATTCGACTGCGGAGGAAAATATCCTTTGGATCAAAGGTAACCCTGGAGCAGGGAAATCTGCAGTAGCTTCTAGCTTGTTATCTCAACTCACTGGGGCGGGTCGGCTTGGTGGATCCTTCTTCTTCCGTAGAGATGATGCCTCGTCCAGCGACCCGACAGCTCTGTGGTGCACAGTAGCGTATGACCTTGCCCAGTTCGATACCAACATAGCATCTGCCATTATCCAGAATTTGCAGGATCGACGAGCGGATCCGCAAAGGCCAGACATACTGGATCATTTCAATGTTCTCATCAAAGAGCCTCTGGTGGATGCTGAGCCCAAGTTCACAAAAGAGCAAGGGTTTAGGTATGCAATTACCTTTTGGACGAATGTATGTATTCAAAATAAATAATGCTCAGATATCCAGTCATCGTCATCGATGCTTTGGACGAATGTGGAGATTCTCGACAGCACCAACGACGCAGAGCTCTAATTGATACTCTCGTAAAGTGGTCCAAGCTTCCTAAGACCCTTAGACTGATTTTCACCAGTCGAGATGATCGAGTGCCAGAATCTTTACGCCAGGTCTGTCAAGTCGTTACCCTTTCCACTGGAGACCAGGTGACCCCTGCTTCGTTATCGGACGTCCGCATGTTCTTCGAGAGTCGCTTTGATCAATTAAAGATGGACTTCCCCTCTTTGGAGGATACTGATTGGCCTGGATTACCCATAATCCAAAAACTGACGACTCGTGCGGCCGGCCTCTTCATCTGGGCAGAGACAGCTATGCGATTCATTGAACAGGGTGTTCCTGAGGATCAACTAGACTCCATACTAACTGGAGATGCTATGATGGTACAAGACAACATTGACGGACTTTATAGTCAAGTAGCTTCGCATGCTCTTGGAAATCTCCACATGAATGCAACGAGCCAAGCCGTATTTCAACCATTGTTAAGTGCAATCGTTTTCTCAAAAGCGCCATTGTCGCGCAAGCACCTCAAACATTTCATCCTCATATCTGTCAAAGAAAGTGCGATTGACTTCGTTCTGGACAGGTTGAAGTCCGTCATATCCACCGCTGATGATGGGCTGGTTCGCATTGGTCATCTATCATTCGCGGAATTCCTCCTCGAATCACACCTGTGTCCAGATCCACTCCGAATTCATCCCAAAACGCGGAGCAACAAGAATTTAGACCTCTTACGAGCATGCCTGCAGATCATGTATGACCCAAACGATGGCCTAAAGTTTAATATATGCGGACTCGAGACTTCTTTTGTCCGAAATCAGGATGTCCAAGATTTGGCAGGACGCATTAAGAAAGATATAGGCATTCATCTCGCTTATGCATGTCGGTTCTGGGGAGATCATCTCGTAGACGCTTCACAATGTCTGTCTGACTGTGATTGGCTTCCAGAAATGTTGAGGACGTTATTTGGAACCCATTTTCTTCATTGGTTAGAAGTGATGACCTTAATCCATGACGTGTCCGTTGCTCTCATGGTATTGGTCATCGTAACGCCCCATCTCAGTGTAAGTGAACAGGTATTCTAAACTGAGGAAATCATATCATTGACGTCGGACAGGCTATTACCATGAAGCTAGAAGAATTCGCGCGAGATGCTCGGCGTTTCATTGCCAATTTTGATGAACCTATCTCGCAAAGTCTACCACACATCTATTTGTCTGCTTTACCTTTCGCACCTCAAGACTCCCTTGTATCTAGGACTTATCTGCATCGTTTTAGTAACCTACTGACCGTTACTGGCAAAGACAAGACGTGGCCTCTCGTGATGAATGTTTTTACTGGTCATAACCACATTGTCAGATCAGTGGCATTCTCGCCTGACGGAAAACGACTGGCTTCTGCTTCCAGTGACAAGAGCGTCTGGATCTGGGATGCAAATACCGGTCAAAGAATGCTAAGTCCACTTCGGGGCCACGAACTAACCGTCCATTCTGTTGCATTTTCACCAGACGGTACCCAGTTGGCTTCTGCCTCTGGTGACAAAACCGTCATTATTTGGGATGTAGCAACTGGCGATATCATGATGCATCCGTTTCAGGGTCATACCAAACCAGTCCAATCTGTTGCTTTTTCACCCGATGGGAAACTTCTGGCATCTGGGTCTGAAGACGAGACGATCAGAGTCTGGGAGGTTGCCACTGGCCATCTCGTTGTAGACCCACTTCTAGGCCACACTCATTGTGTCAACTCTGTCGCATTCTCTCCAGACGGAAAGCAGCTTGTCTCAGCCTGTGCTGATAAGATGGTCAGAATCTACACGACCGATGATTGGAAGATGGGAAAGATATTCCGAGGTCACACAGCGGGTGTCAACTGTGCCGCGTTCTCGCCAGATGGGAAACAGATAGCTTCTGGCTCGAGTGATTCCACAATCAGGATCTGGAATATAGCGACTGGTCAGATAGTGGCAGGCCCAGAATTCCGGGGGCGTGATCAAATCATGTCGGTTGCATTTTCACCAGATGGGAGGCAATTAGCCTTTGGTTGTTTCGATACAACTGTCAGTATTTGGGATATAGCCACTGCTCAGATAGTGGTTGGACCATGTCGAGGACACTCTGGATGGATCTCTTCGGTTGCGTTCTCGCCGGATGGAAGACAGGTGGCTTCTGGCTCGAGTGATGAGACGATCAGAACCTGGGATGTTGTTAATAGGCAAGCGATGGAAATCCCAGTGCAAGGTCATGCAGAAGGGATCAGTTCTGTTGCGGTTTCACCAGATGGGGAATGCCTGGCCTCCGGTTCTACCGATCAGACTATTAGGCTATGGGATATGAAGACTGGTCAGATGACAGGGCCAGGTCCCATTCACGGGCACACCGACGGTGTGACTTGTATTAGCTTCTCGCCCGACGGAAAATATATTGCCTCTGGCTCTGACGACACAACATCTAGGGTGTGGGATGTGATGACTGGTCATATGGTGGCAGGCCCATTCCAAGGGCACACGAAAGCAGTCAAGTCGGTTACGTTCTCACCTGATGGCAAGTCCTTGGTTTCTGCTTCTGGGAATAAGGATATCAGGATGTGGGATGTAGCGACTGGCGAGATGATGGTGGGGCCATTCAAAGGACATCGAAAAGCGGTCCATACTGTTACGTTCTCACCGGATGGAAATCAGCTAGCCTCTGGCTCTATGGACGAGACGATCATAATATGGGACGTGGCGGCTGTTCAGATGGCCATGGACCCATTAAAAGGCCACACAGAAGCCATCAACTCGGTCGTATTCTCACCAGACGGAAAGCGGCTCATATCTGGTTCTGATGATAAAACAATCAGAGTCTGGGACGTCGCCACTGGTAACACAGTCGCAGGACCGTTTCGGGGGCATACGAAATGGGTCAGTTCCGTCGCGGTGTCACCAGATGGAAAACAGGTGGCATCTGGGTCTGGGGATCAGACGATGAGGATTTGGGATGTGGCTACTGGACGGATGACGAGGGCTGGGCCGTTTCACGGCCACACCCATGCTATCACCTCCGTTACGTTCCTGTCGGGAGGAAAACATGTTGCATCGGGGTCGCGCGATAAGACGGTCAGAATATGGAATTGCCATTCCGATATCCAGCCCTACGACGAACTGGGCTCGCCATCGTCTTCAGGCTGGGTTTCCTTCACTTCAAGCTGTGATCCCAACTCCAAATTCACCCGAATGGGAAAGAAGTTGCTGTATTGGGTGCCCCTTGCGCATAGACAGAGCTGGTGTGATTTTCGTACGAGGAGACTTGTGGGGGCGTCGACGTCGCCGATCAGAGTGTCTTTTGAACGGTTTGTGCACGGCTCTGGGTGGGCGGCGTGTCGAGGTGAGCGTGTTATTCAAATCGTTATGATCGGACTCTCAAGTGATTATGTCCACCCTAGAACTGAGTTCAGCGAGACACGGAGACTCGATCGCTGATGAACGCGGAGGTCGCTTTCTGTCTTCATCACAAACTATAACCCATACGTTCACATCAGCTAAAAAACATACAAGGCTCAGGTTTGAAGAAAAACCAGATGTACACCTGCATCGCAGTCACGCTACCAGTGGGTCTAAACGGCTCGGACACCCGCCGCCGCCTCGACTCCTCCAGTGCTATTCCACACCATCCATCTCAGTGAATAGCGTGACGGCTCACGCGAGCCGGACATCATCTGCGCTTATATCTCTACGAGCGCCTGCCAATGCCAATGGCTCGGGACAGGAGACTAAGTGTAGAGTCCGAGTCCGTCACGGTAGAGACCTAGCTGGCAGAGTCGACGATCTCAAACACTTGGGCTTGTCTTTCATTCGATAGAACACCGGCGAAAACCGCATCCGTTCGGGGCTCGTACTTTGGGCTTTGTGAAGTTTCTTTCATAGTTTATATAACCTTGAGCTTGGTAGGTAGGTAGGTAGGAGCCGTGGTCTACTTACTCAACCTTTAACTTGCTCATATCTGGTTCTGATGATAAAATGAGACAGATACGTCACCGCTGTATTTTTGAAAGGCAGTCGCAGGTGTCACCGGGATGCGAACGACGAGCGGCCGAGTGGGCCCATCTGGGTCTGGGGACGGGACGATGAGGGTGTGGATTGATGGGATGATGATGATAACGACTGGACGGATGGACGGAGGGTGGGGGGGTCGTTTTCACAACGCCCCTCCCCCCACGCTCTCACCTCCGTCCTCCACGTTCTTCAAAGTGGTCGGGGCGAAAAACAGGTCGCGTGCGCGTGATAAGACGGTTTCGAATGATGGTTTTTGGCTTTCGCTCGCCCGCTCGTTCTTTATGACGATAGAGAAAGAGAAAGAGGGAGCGCACCCACCGCTTTGGGGGGCTCGTTCCCATATTTTTACGATGCTGCCTTCTCGTCATTGACATTGACATTTATATACATTTCAAACTTGCTATTCGGTAGGGAGCTATGCGGTTTTTGAATAGACGCATTTCAAGCTTGAATATTGAATATTGAATATTGAACACCACATCTGCAAAACGACTTGACAGCGGCTAAGTCGGCGCTTCTGCTAGCGCCAACTTATGCGATTGGTGGAAAGTTGCGCCGGTTTCCTTATTTGGATGAGAGAGATCCTGATACCATATCTACTGTAATCGTAGACTGATAATGTTTATCTTACAACGATAATTCATATCTCAGCGATTAGATTCCATTATGCTGTAAGAAACAAAAAACCATTGAATCATTGATCAAAGATAAGCAAAGATAATGAAAAGACAATGAAAGCGACATAATTCTACTAGTAGTACAGGAGTGATGCCCTCAAAGCAAGTAAGCAATACCATAGTCCATAGTCGTCCGAATCAACTAGAATCATCAGTCCTCATCTACTAACATCAAGCGATAAACCTCCTTGTCTGAGTAGCAGTTCAAAAAAAATGAGTTGGCAACTCCAGCGAATTACTTACATTGATGGCTGGATCCTTTGTGGCGCCATACAACGGGATGAGCTCCACAGCTTGAGCAACGGCTGTCAGTGGCACTATCCTCCCAACACGCTGATGTCGGCGCTGTGGATCTATGTGGAATGATCATTCAACAACGAACATGTTGACCTCAGGGCGGCTGGAAGGATGAGCAATCACTCGGAAATACTGGACGTAGATAAGTGTCTGCAAAAGATGTTGGGGTAACAAGGCACCGTGACTGGCAAGCGGCACCAAAACCGCTCGAATCTGTGACAAATTATGACATTTGTTTATAGTATGAGAAAACATGCATTGGCCAGGGCTTGAACCTGGGACTCCAGCTTTCATGGTCTGGTGCTTTACCAACTAAGCTACCAAGGCGTACTTGGAAAGCATACTGATTGGTTGCATGCCCAGAAGGTCCAGAATCACTGTACACGGGTGCGGATCCCATTGTGCTGTGATAATCTGGACAACGCAAGGCTCTGGAACATGATTTATAAGTCTCATTATTCAATCAATAGAAATGTAACTCACCTTGACCCGTACCTCCCAATAACACAGTATCACAGTTACCCCAAGGAAATTGCTGGTTCCGAGGGTATGCTTGCACAAGCTGACTAGGCATGATAATCTTGTTGTCGAATACCAAGTGTAGCTGTATTCGGAATTTGAACCACACTCGTACATTTTGAAATGGGAGAGAGCCTGAGAATCCGGGATAGTGAGATAAATATTGGAGGAAGGTGCTTGCAAGATCCGGCAGTCCATACAGATTACTAGCATCCTGGAGTGACATACTTTTTATGTTGGGCGCAACAGTGATATGGAAAGCTGTGGACGCGTCATCAGAAAGGATGCCCTTGATAAAATGATTGCGGACAAGACGAGAGCCAGTGAAACGAGTTTCTTGGGGCAATATGGATGATATCCACGCAAAGTGAGGATCAGTGTCCACAACTTCGTGGTCCGCTAGCAATAGTGCACATTCATAATCCTCTGAAGCAATGGCTTGGTTTATGAAACCCTTGCCACTCGAGCGGAGGAGAGTATACAGGTCGAACATTCGACGCTTCTCCACGTGGTCCAGAATCTTCACAACCTGAGTAAGGAAGTTTTTCCCATGGTTATAATAAAACTAAGTGAAACTCAGCCGCTGCCCGAGAGGCTATAGAAACGACTTTATTATTTACCTAAGTGAAACTACAATAGATGTTAGTTTAAGGTGATCTCTAATAAATGTAATGTAACATACCTCAGCCACTGCCCGAGAGGCTATAGAAATGACTGAGGTATTCCTATACTAAACCCCCTACTACTTATAGTCGGAGGTGCTACTCGCTACAGTATAATGACTCCTAGGAGAACAATGGTTACTCCATGGAGTGGTGGCTATGCTCCATGGAGAACAATGGCTGCTTCGGCAGAGACCGGGTTTATCCAGTTTTGTCAGGTTAGTCTGCTGGAATGTATGCTTGCAATTTGTGATAAGTAGGCGTTCTACGACATCTCCAGTATATTGAGGGATAGTACCATTGTTCTCGATTGACCGGGCAAAGTGCTGCATGAGCTCGAGCTTGGGGATCCTGAAATTATCTATTGTGTCATTTTTACCTCTCCTAGCTTCCGCCTCTAATATAGCACCCTTATGCCAATGAAACTGTTCAAGGGATTGGACCATTTTCTTGATAGAACTGGGAGTTTGGACAGGATGTTGTGCAGCATAGATGAAGTCAATCATTGATTGAATAGCAAAGACGAAGTTAGGAGCAACCGCGCCCGCAATTGTGGGGAAAATAGTACGCTGGATATCTTAATGTTCGCATCCGGTCATCTGCTTGACACTTGTAACGCCCTTGTCAAAGTGGCGGAATCCAACTCGCTTGTTGTGACTTTTATAGCGATTATCTAGCTCCTGGTGCCCTAAAACTTCCTTGCACCAGACGAGGACATGGTCAAAGAAGAATTTATAACACGTATGCAAGAGTTTGGGCGTCAGAAATACGGACGGGTCAGCGAGGTGCCAATTTCTCCAAAATGGCTGATGTACGCCATTGATGCCGACTTCCTTTGCCGCTATCTGAAACTCATTTAATTTCCAGGGGTCAATCTTCTGCGAGATCTTGAAGATCTGTTCTAAGGTATGTCTTGCTGTACAGGGAGGGTACACCTCCGCATTGCCAAACTGAGACTGAGTAGCGAGAGATACCGGGGATGAATTTTTGGCGACACAAGCTATAACTTGAGCTTCGGGTAGATCAGCTTGATATGCAACGAGAGGTGTGTACACGTATCTAATGGTGCCAAAAGGGTCAGGTATGAATGTGCCAACCTTGGCAGCAATCTTCAAGTTCATGGTGACCCTATCCATGCATTTGTGCCAAACACGGGCCTGAAGAATACCCTGATAGTCCGAATGGGCTTCAAACTTGGGTGTTGGGATGAAAGCAACACAACTCCAAGTATGAGTAGTGGCTTTCATTCGCACATCAGATCTGATGTTACTGATTGTTAGAAAGGTGGGATGCATTTCAATATTGCCCGTCCCTCTCATGACAGCTGTTTTATCCGACCTGAGGATGATGGGGACTATTGTTGCGCCTACAGGTAGCTCATCCTGGTGAAATTGATCATAAGTTAACACATTGTCGATGATGAGAACTGCTGTTAGAAAACCACACACAAAAACAAACTAACACACAATCCTCCCAGATTCCACGGAACTTGTTTATGGGCTTTGCCTCCTAGAACAGTGGAGTGGTCTGGTTGTTCGTGGGGTGGTACATATAAAGATCCTTCAAAGTAAAACCCAGAGGTGTACGAGTGTGGGTTTTGAGGAGGAGGGATAGTTGAATTTATAGAAGATAGGGGCTTAGTGATGAGTATATATGAGCACTACCTTGCTAATTGTAGCACAAGGTAGGTTTGAGAACGACGAGGATGACAAGGTGACAAGGTTCCCAGTGATAGCAGGCTCCTGACACACAAACTGTAGTGCTCAGAAGGACTCTAATCGAAAGGGATAACAATGACTTCAAAAGTGGGGAGTGACAATGACAGCAATTAACAGTGGTAGCAGTGGGAAGTGTTGTGACCACACTGGATCACAAGTAGCAGTAAGAAGTGGACTTAAGATTAGAGAAGAAGTCTGGAATCGAGTGCTTGTTTTTTTTTTTTGG